CTCAAGGCTAGCGCTCTACCACTTGAGCCACAGCACCACTTCTGGCTTTTTTCTTTTTGCTTATGTGGTGCTGAGGAATCGAACCCAGGGCCTTGAGCATGCAAGGCAAGTGCTCTACCACTGAGCCACCTTCCCAGCCCTAGCTCAGCCTTTTGAATAGCTAGGATTATAGGCAAGAGCTACCAGCACCCAGCTTTAGATCCTTTTAAGCTTCTCTCATAAAATAATTTAAGACTACAGTGATCCCTCACCAACTGCGGAAGTTATATTTCAGAGACCTCCAAGATAGGTGAAGATCTGTGAATTAGCAACATTACATTTATTTTATTATATACATATATTTAAAGGCTTTATAAACTCTTCCCACTCTCTTATCAATCCTTTCCCACACTTTCATAAACACTTCATATGTTCTTAAATATGTTCTACACTCTTAAACCTGTGTAATTTTAACAACATATAAAATTCTGTGTGGATACTCACCAATGAAGCATACTACAGCTTCTATGATGAAGACCATGGATCATGTAGCTGTGCAGTACTGATGATGATGAAAGCAATGATGATGAGATGAATGTACTGCACAGCTTTTCATCAGGCGTGTCATCAGGGGCAGTATCTTCTCCCTGCACTGTAACTTCTATTTCTGCTAAAGGTATAGGAGTAACTGATCTCTTTGTCTGAGTGATGAACATAGTTATGGGGAGTTGCTGGCGTTGCTTTTTCTTCTGCGTGAGAATGTTTTTATAAACTGACATACCACTCTCAATTGTATTTACGAAGTGCAACAAACAAAGCATCTGGGGGTATCATTCTACAGCTACTCGCTGAAGTTCTTTGGCCATTCTGACCATGGTTGCAAGACAGTTGAGTGTTAAGCCAACCTTCTCCTCCTCTCCAACACGTAGTTCATCTTGTTCCTCATCCTCTTCTTCACTTGCTGACTTTGTCTCATCCATGTTAAAAACTTGTTCAGGCTTTTAGCCCCTTGGCTCTGACTTTATCTGCAGAAGTAGCTTCTCCATGCAGAGAAACGCTCTTGAGTTCAAAGCATCTTGGAAATTTGTCAAACCAGCCCTTGCTGGCACTCTATGGGGTTGGTCTGGTAGGAGAAGCACTCGACAGTTCTGCTTCTGCGTTGTCATCCTGGTCTTCATCCTTGTCACCGTCGTGAATGTCTGTGCTGTCCGCAAAACTATCATAAAGTTTCTTCGCCTTCATCCAGATAGTGTTGGTATTCAGGGAGATATTCTTCTTTCTGCAGTCATTTATCCACAAGGCCAAGGCAGACTCCATCCTCACAATGGCCTTATAACAGGAAGTGACCACCTTCTCTGCAGTCTGGTTAAAAGTCATTGTTGCCATAGACCTAGTATTCTTTTCACCTTTATGTAGTGAACAATAGATTCATTGATACTGTAATGGTAGCCTACAGCCATGTAGCTTTCCCCTTTTTGCCTTTAATATGCTGAGAAGTTCTACCTTTCCTTTGGTGGTGTAGAATGTTTGGGCTGCATCATAAGGCTTAAAATAAATTCAAACTTTTATGATAATGTCACAACACAACACTGCAGAGCAACATTACATGCAGTGATCAGACAACGATGTGAAGTAGACAAGGAGAGATGCTGAACATATGGGCACAGCAAACAGCTGTATGCTATGGTCACTGAGCCAATCAGTGCCCAGGATACAGAACACAGTGCTATGGTTGGTCGCTTTCTAGTCCATCAGCCAATAGTGTGCTGTGTACAATCTCACATTGGGAAACTTGTGTAAGCAGTAGTAGTGTACTGCACATTTCCATTGTGTACAGTATGGTATTCATCTGCTGATGAAATACATACTGTGGGTTTTTTTACATTTTTAATATTGTTTTAATATTTTTGGCAAGGATAATTAAAATCGCAAATATTATATAAATACCTACACACCACAAAATCCCACAATATAGCGAGGGATGACCATAGAAAAAATTGTCAGGAATGGTAGCAAGAATACGGTGTCCTTAGCCATTTGAGATTAAGTTGCCAACCTCTTGGCTCATCACTCTGAATTTAATGTACATTTCTCTGATTAAAGATGTTCTCCCAAGCCAGGTACTGGTATCTCAGGCCTGTAATCCTTGCTACTCAGAAAGCTGAGATATAAGGATCTGTGTTTGAAGTTGGGCTGGGTAGAAAAGTCCCTGAGATTCTTTTTTTTTTTTTGGGTCCGGTCGTAGGGCCTGAACTCTGGGCCTGGGCGCTATCCCTCAGCTCTTCAGCTCAAGGCTAGCGCTCTACCACTTGAGCCACAGCACCACTTCCAGCTTTTTTCTTATGTGGTGCTGAGGAATCAAACCCAGGGCCTCAAGCATGCAAGGCAAGTGCTCTACCACTGAGCCACCTTCCCAGCCCCGTCCCTGAGATTCTTACCTTCAATTAACCACAAAAAAGCTGGAAGTGGAACTGGAGTGGTAGAGTGCCAGCCTTGAGCAAAAAATCCTTGAGCAAAAAAGAACGAGAGGCCCTGAGATTAGGCCACAGTACCTCAGTACTGGAGCGTGTGTGTGTGTGTGTGTGTGTGTGTGTGTGTGTGTGTGTGTGTGTGTGTGTGTGTGTGCAAAAAATCCTTGAGCAAAAAAGAACGAGAGGCCCTGAGATTAGGCCACAGTACCTCAGTACTGGAGCGTGTGTGTGTGTGTGTGTGTGTGTGTGTGTGTGTGTGTGTGTGTGTGTGTGTGTGTGTGTGTGTGTGTGTGTGTGTATGCGCACACACGTTCCCTCATAATCAGAGGATCCATCCTAGGAGGATCCTGCCTAGCAGGACATCAGGGATGGTCCCTGGCTGTTCACATAGCGCCACCTGGTGATATTTACCAGATCTGCAGGGCTGGTTCCCATCATGCCTTAGATGTGGGATTTAAAATCTCACTTATCTCTGGTCTCTGTCTTCAGTGTTCTGAGCCCTCTTTGCCAGTGTTCCCTGGATGCTCCTTCCCAGATCCTAATTTGGAGAGTTCAACCATGAGAGTGGTAACCTTCATTAATCTTGCCCAGGAGTCTCAAGATATTTTTACTATTACTCAATAGGGATGTCCAGTGTTCTGGGTTAATAACACTGATAGTAAATGCTTTATTAAACACTTATAAAAGACAGTTCACAGCCTTGGAGAATGCTTGTTATTTTAAGCTAAATTTAAAAAAGCAACTACTGTTCTAAAAGATTGGAGAGGCTGTGAAGAATAGAGGGATTTGAGCAATGTCTTTTCTTTCGCATTATTTTTCTTCCTTAAAGTTTTGATATGCTTTCCAAACTTTATTAATTTTTATTTTGTATTAACATATGTTAATTGTACAAAATATATGTATATCCATATATGCATATATTTTGACCAAAAGCATAAGTAACAAAAGTACTTCTTAAATGGAGTATTTACTATTTGGATAAGAAAACTTATGGGTCCCATGGACCAGAGAGAAGCCCAGCCAGGCCTCTGATGGCCTGGGACTGTGAGGCTGTCTGTCTTTTCTGGACAGGCTTAGGGTGAAGTTTAATATGGGAGCCCAAGCAGCCTTCTTTAACCTATTTATATGATACAACTAGGCCTCCCAGGAGTCCCTGCCAGGGCTTGAAGTCAGGGACTCACTCCCTTGCTTGACTTTCTCTCAAGGCTAGCTTTCTACTACTTGAGTGACACATCCACTTTGGGAATAGAGACTCATGGATTGATCTGCCCAGGCTGGTTCCAAACCTTGATTCTCAGAGCTTAGCTTACTGGTAACTAGGATTATAGCTGTGAGCCATTGGTGCCTGGCAGTGTCTTCATTTTACAGATGAGGAAACTGAGTCACGGGGATGTTACAGGTCTTGCCCAAAGTCACACTGCTCCTGAATGGTGGAACTTGACCACAGATTCTGACCGTAACTTCCTGTCTATGTTTGTGGATCCCCAGGGTGACTTTGCTGCAGCCTCCTGAATATGCAACTCTTTTTTTTTTTATTGTGAAAATACTGTACAGAGGGGTTACAATTACATGGGCAAGACAATGAGTACATTTCTTATCAAGCATTGTAGCCTCCTCCTTTGTTTCCCCTTCCCATCCTCCCCTTGCCCCCCCCACCCAATCCTTCCCGCTTCCCCCCGCCCCACCAAAGTTGTAAAGTTCGTTTTCGACATAACGATTTGTACGTTTCATTGTTGCAATGGGTCCACCTGTATCCCTATTTAAACAATTTGTTTTTCCCCTTCCCTTCCACAAATTATACCGACATCAAATACAGTGAAAGCAGGGGTTATACTGTGGGACATACAAAGCAACAAAGAAATCATATTATAAATGTGTTAGAAACAATCGCATGAAAGAAAAAAAAACATTTGAATACATATCTTAGGGTTCATTTCCCTAACATCACCTTATCTGACCTTTCTGCTTGACTCAGACATATACTAGATATTGCAAATAAGGGAAACCATGGGACCTATGTTTCTTTGGGCCTGGCTTACTTCACTTAATATAATTTTTTCCAAGTCTTTCCATTTCCTAACAAATGGGGCAATGTCATTCTTTCTGATGGAGGCATAGAATTCCATTGTGTATATATACCACATTTTCTTGATCCATTCATCTACTGAGGGGCATGTGGGTTGGTTCCATATCTTAGCTATGGTGAATAATGCTGCAATAAACATAGTCATTCTGGTAGCTTTAGTGTGGTCTTGTTTGTGAACATTTGGGTAAATGCCCAAAAGTGGGATTGCTGGGTCATAGGGGAGGTCTATGTGGAGTCTTTTGAGGAACCTCCATACTGCTTTCCAAAGTGGTTGAACAAGTTTACACTCCCACCAATAATGCAGTAAGGTTCCCTTCTGTCCACATCCCCTCCAGCATCTGTTGTTATTAGAGTTCTCTTGTCAGGGCTATATTTTCCACGGGAAATAGGCAAGAATTGGAGGGATGCTGGAGGCTGTGGTCCAGCCAGGATACTAACTCACTGCCCACCCTCAACTCTTGCAGGCTTCGCTGGTCTTGCAGGTGTCCTACACACCACTCCCTGGAGCTGTGCCCCTGTTTCCACCCTCTGTTCCTCTGGAGCCCTCTCCGACATTGCCTGACATGGACCTGGTGGCTGGTGAGGAGCCCACTTCCTGCATGGCAGGGGCAGGGGCAGCAGCCAGGCCTCTCAGCCTCATGGTGGGAGGCTTTCCAGGCAGGGAGAGGAGAAGATTTGGGTGGATGGAGAGTTCTGAGAGTTGCCTTCTGCCATGTGGGCATACTTTCTTTGGGAAGTGGGGCAAGGATGCTCCTTTAGTCCTTTTGGCTCAGGGAGGGTCTGGGCCCTTGACTACAGAGCTCTGAGAAGGGTCTGACAAGGTGGGGGTGATGCCCATCCTGGGTGATGGGCATCCTGTGTGATGGGCATCCTGGGTGATGGACATCCTGGGTGATGTCCATCCTGGGTGATGGGCATCCTGTGTGATGGACATCCTGTGTGATGGGCATCCTGGGTGACAGTTTAGGTGATACCTGAGGCCCCACCCATTTCCCTGTCCTGCTACCCAGCTTCACTGTAGCCTTCCTTTGTGACAAGAGAGCTCATTTTTCCTTGAAAGAAACCTGGGCTAAAATTAGGAAACATGAATTCCAGTTTTGCCATTGTCATTGGGTAGCTGTGTGCCTTTGGGCTGGCCAGTCTCCTTCTCTGAGCTTGCAGATGATCATTTGTGAAGTGATTTGTACTGACTTAGCTAAATCCAGTGTCTGCCTCACCCTTCACTTACATGCATTGATTTGTCGAGTAAGGACAGGTCAGGATGGCTGGCTTGCCAGAAGTGACCTGGGGGTGGAAGTTGGCATGGCCCCTGTGCAGTCCAGCCAGCTGGGTGAAGGAGGATGTCACACAGATGAAGCAATGAACATTTGCCTATAGAGAAAGCTCTAGAGTGTCTCCCATGCTGAAGAAAGGCTAGAAGTCATATGGCAGGAAACCCTGAGCAGCTCCTGCCTTGAATGTGCCCTCGGCCTGTCTGGACTAGGGCTGGCTAAGCTCAGAGAAGGAAGAGGGGAAGATAATGGCCAACCACAAATACTTTGGGTCCACAGTAAGGTGAGTCTGATAGAATCAGGTGTGGGCCAATCAGAGGGGGTGCCCAGGCCTGCCTGGATGTTGTGAGATGCACCAGCTCTCCCTTTCACCACTAGACAGGGCAGCTAGTGCTGAGCTTCATACCAGGCCTAATGGGCAGGGAAAGCAGGAGTTGAGCGTGGGGGTGCAATAGGTAGACATCCTTCACTCCAGCTCCCTCCTGTCCCTCCTCCTGGGGCTGTGCCCTGATCACATGCTAGGTGGGGGACAGAGCCGGGCCGAGACTTGGTCCTTGCTCAGTGACAGCACCGTGGACACGAGATACTCTGGAAAGAAGTGGTCGGCTCCCACGGGTGAGACACGTCCAGGACCAACATGATCTCAGACCTTACCTGTAACCATCTCACCTGCTGCCATGACACGTGGTGGCTAGAAGGATTCATCCTGCAGGGCTGGGGATGGGAGGGCCCGGGCCATTCTGTCTTCTTGCTGACTAACTGGACTGACTATCTTCAAGTGCCAGCGGCCAGAGCTGCCCTTCTCTCTGCCTCATCCATCCTGGCTCACTGTGGGGATGGGAGGGGAGGAAGTTGGAAGGATGGGAGGGCAGGCATCCTTTGGTGGGGCTGGGTCTGAGGGCAGTAGCAGAGGGAAGTGGTGCTCATGAGGGCCCGGTCCTCTCTCCCAGACACAGGAGGAGAGGAAGACACTGAAGACCAGGGGCTCACAGGAGATGAAGCAGAGCCGTTCCTGGATCAGAGTGGAGCTCCAGGCCCTGGCGCTCCTACCACCCCCAGGAAGCCGCCGTCCCATCCTCCCCCCTACCATCCTGGAAGCAAAAGAAAGAAAAGTGTGCCCACGTCCAAAAAGCTGCTGTCAGACAAGCCACAGGACTTCCAGGTGATGTCTGGATTGCCTCTGACCCCAGTCTCCAACTTTAGCCCATCAGTAGCTGCTGGTGCCCAGTACCCCCGCTGGTCTGTCTAGCCTCAGGGAAGATGTGCTGGAATACTAGATGTCTTCTAGTAGGAAACTGTGCTTTCCCCTGGTGTTTGCAGCTAAACAGGGAGTTAGTGTCTTGAGGCCTCAGAGCAAGCCTTTGCCCAGTTCCAAGCTTTTGTTCTTAAAACGAAATAAATAGCTGGGCACTGGTGGTTCATTCTGGTAATCCTAGCTACTTGGGAAGCTGAGATCTGAGGATCGTGGTTCAAAGCTAGCCCAAGGAAGGGAAATCCATTACACTCCAAAAAGTTGGAAGTGGCTCACGTGGTAGAGCACTAGCCTTGAGCCAAAAAGCATAGTGACAGTGCCCATGTCCTGAATTCAAGCCCCAGGACTGGTACACACATGTGCAACCGTGCATGTATGTTCATGCACACACAGAGAGTAAATATATCAGTTAAAAATTTAAAAAGAGTCCTTGTAGAGATCCATTGCATCTTGTATTTCTTTGCTGCTTTCTGTTTTCCTTCTTATTTTCTTTTTGCTAACCAGGGATCATCTTACTGGCTAGCATCTTGCTATTCCCAGCAGCCTAACAATGGTATTGCCCAGAGAGGGAAGTGTCTGCTGAATTAGGATCTGCTTCTCATAAGAAGTCTGAATCTTGAGGAGCTCTGTCCAGCATCTCGCTTCTCTCTTTTTCTCTCCTCTACTTAAAACTAGGGATTTTTCTGAAGGTCCTATAGAATCTGAATTTGTTAAAGTTCTTCATAGAATAAAGACTATTAATATTAACCCTTTGACACATCTAATTGCCATCCTATTATACTGCCTTTTAATTTTGGTCCTTTGCTTATTATTATTTTTCTACACAGTCTTCCATTTTATTACATTAGGTGCTATTTAAGTCTTCAGAATTACTTTGAAAATTAAAAACAGGAACTTAAATATTGTTTAGGTGCAGCAAATCACACATTTTATTTGGCTCTAAATCATGGTACTACAAGTCAAAATTCTGGATATGACCACTATAAATGTTATTTCCAAGATATGTTCTTATTGTCTTAAAAAATAATAATTTTTTTTCACAGACCATTTAGAAAATACAGCAAAGCAAAAAAGCAAAAAAAAATTATTAAGAATATGTCCTTCTATAAAATGCTGTTTTTCAAAAGGCAGTTGGTCAATAAATAACAGTGATTAGAAAATGAAAGAAGTAAATATCTTATTTTTTTCCATGAAAATTACTTTAACTTTTTTTTTATTGTGAAAAATTAACTTTTTTTTTTTAACTGGCCCTGGGGCTTGAACTCTGGACCGAGGTGCTGTCCCTGAACTCTTTTGCTCAAGGCTAGTGCTCTGGAGCCACAGCTCCATTTCTGGCTTTTTCTGTGATTAATTGTAGGTAAGAGTCTCACAGACTTTCTTGCCCAACCTGGCTTTGAACCATGATCCTCAGATCTGTTTCCTGAGTAGCTAGGATTATAGGCATAAGCCATCAATACCCAGTGTTACTTTAATAATTTACAATTTTGTATTTTAAAATATTTGAGCTAGTATTTGGAAGCACAGAGGTTTATTCAAAGTTCAATGGAAAAATTCTTAATTTATTTCTCAGGATATAAAAAAGCATTATATCTACTCAGATAAAGAATAAAGGGTAAAGTTGAGTGTGGTGACTCACACCTGTAATCCCAGCCACTTGAGAATGGAGACAAGAGGGTCATGGTCCCAAGCTGATCTTGGGCAAAAGTATGAGGCCCTGTTTGGAAAACAACTAAAAGCAAAAGGAAGAGAAGCATGCATCACTCAAGTGATAGAGGGCTTGAGGCCCTGAATTCAATCTCTAGCACTTCAACAAACAATTCAACTAAAAATAACAACAACAACCACCACTAGTACACAAAACTAGTGAAGGTTGAGGATGTTGCTCAATGGTAGAGTACTTTCTTAGCATGCTCAATGTGCAGGAGCCCTGGGTTGGATTACCAGCACCACAAATCAGAAATAAAGTCTATTTCTTGGGTCACTTGGATGAGTAAATTTCACTTCGTTGGAGATGATTGTCAGTAAAGAATTTTCAAGCCACTTCAAAATGTCAGTGGAGCTTGTGCTGAATGAAAGGACCCAAGGGCTGAGTCTGCCTACTCCTGTCTACCCCTGTCTACCCTTGTGGTTTTTTTTCTTTTTTATCAGTTGTGGGGCTTTAACTCTGGGCCTGGGCACTGTCCTTGAGCTCTTCAGCTCAAGGTGAGCGCTCTACCACTTGAGCCACAGCACCACTTCTGGTTTTCTGGTGGTTTATTGGAGAGAAGAGCCTCATGGACTTTCCTGCCCGGGCTGGCTTTGAGCCGTGATCCTCAGATCTCAGCCTCCTGAGTAGCTAGGATTATAGGCGTGAGCCACAGGAGCCCGGTTTCACCCTTGTGATTTTGCAGGGTTGGCTGACAGCTCTGCTGTGGAGCTGTGGAATTTTATAGACACAAGGGACATTGGTGGGAAATTATGAAGAAAAAAAAATTTCCCCGTTCTCCCCTTGCCCCTCCCCCCATGCAGAGGATTGAACTCAGGACCTTGGGCACACTGGGCGACCACTCTACTCTTCTTCCCTATTCTATCTGGATACATCCCAAGCCCCATGATTGAACTTAAAATGCTCCTCCTGGTGCCATTTCAAAAGCGTTTCAAGAAGCCAGCAGTGAGATAGTCTGGGAGATTATGAACTCCTCAGACAGGTGGTGGGTATCCCCCATTTCTGCCTGCTTTTCCCTTTCTCCTTCCCCTTCCTCATGCTCATGCCCCCTCCTGGCTTTCAGATCAGAGTCCAGGTGATCGAGGGGCGCCAGCTGCCAGGGGTGAACATCAAACCTGTAGTCAAGGTCACGGCTGCTGGACAGACCAAAAGGACTCGGATTCACAAGGGCAACAGCCCTCTCTTCAACGAGGTGGGAGACACTGGACATTAAGGCCAGAACTTTGGTAGGGCCTTGAACAGGGAGCCCAGAGCAGACACTCAACAGTGTTTCCATGTGGTGACCAATTCTGGTCAGAAGGTGTGCCAGGGTTTGAACAGTATGTCTGAGGAGCTGGAGAAGAACTCCAACTCTTATTTCTGCTCAGGGATCCTGCTGTTCCCCGTCCCTGGCATCCTACAGAGCTATCTTGAAGTGACATCCTCTTTGAGGGCAGGGATCGAACACACTAGAATTTGTGAAATCCTAGGGGCTCAGTTGTCGTTGTCTGTGTGGATTTGCTCCCGCTCTTGAAGGCTTGTGGGTGGTGGTGACAACTCTGACCGGCCTAAGGCATCAAGGATCCTCATTTGTCTCCCTTTTGCTCTTCACCAACAGACTCTTTTCTTCAACATGTTTGACTCGCCTGTGGAGCTGTTTGATGAGCCCATCTTCATCACGGTATGTCTCAGCATTCATGATGTTCTCCGTGGGTTGTGTGTATGCATATATATGTGCCATTGATTGGTACATGGAAGTGTGCATTGACTGTCAGTGCGCATGAGTGTGTGTAGGTAGGTTAGAGAGATGTGTTAAATCCTGGTATTTGGATAAATGAACAACTCAGCTCAAGCTCTGCTGACTCCAGAAATGTCCACCACAGCTCAGTGGGTACCTCAGGCCTGAGGCATGAAACCTCTTATTGTAGTGGATGTTTTAAGTTTCATCTTAATCCATCTGTTCATGTGTCTGCTTTCAGCCAACATCTTCTTTCTCTGGACCTTAGTTCCCTTCCATTCCTGTCAGGAAGGTAGTGTGACCTAGTGGTTAAACTTGTGGGTTGTGACACTGGACTGTATGGATTTTAGTCCTGTCTACGTGGATATGAGGTGCTATTTGTGTTAGTTACTTTTGCATAGTGGTGACAGAGCACTTTAAAGGAGGAGAGATTTATTTTGGCTTCCAGTTGGTCCATTATTGGGGGCAGAGCAGCTGACTTCATGGCAGCAGAGGAAGAATGTATAGGAAGAAACCAGAGCAAGATACAGCCCCAAGAATCATCCCTCACCAAGTAGCCTAGTTTCTTTAACCAGACCTCACCTCTGCCACTAATGCTATCAAATTATGACTCTGTCAACAGATTAAAGCACTATGTCAGAAACTTCATCATCTAATCATCTCTGGAAACACAGATACCTAGAAGTGTACTTTACTAATCTCCTAGGTGCTTCTCAATCCAATCAAGTTGACCTTTAAGTGATCACACTGGGCTTATCCTATAATCCCTCTGTGCCTCTCTTCCTTCATCTGGGAAGTGGGGGTAATCACAGTACTTATCCATGGGGAGCTTGTGAGGACAAAACATTGCATAGAACAGACTCTGGACTGGAGTGGGTGTCAATGTTGGCTGTTTGTATTTGGGAGGGAAGAGCTGTGGGGTTGAACGTGCCTGGGCTACACTTTCATTGGTCCATGATCTCTCCCTCCAGGTGGTGGACTCCCGTTCCCTCAGGACAGATGCTCTCATCGGGGAGTTCCGGGTAACTGTCCTTCTTCCTGAAAAGTCACTCCTCACTTCTCTATGTTCCTGGAAGCTCTGTGGACAATACTAAGGACAGACACTCCTGAGATTCCATGGTCTATGTAGTGGTACTTGAATTTGAACTCAGGGCCTTGTACTTGCAGGCAATTACTCCACTACTTGAGCTACATCCATGGCCCTTTTTGCTTTAGGTAGTTTTCAGAGGGGGCCTCAGGAATTTTGCCTGGGCTGACCTCAGATTGCCATCCTTACTCCCTCCTTCCTTCCCTTTTTCCCTCCCTTCCACCCCCCCCCCCCCTCCTTGTGCTGGTACTGGGTTGAATCAGGGCCCAGATTCTGTCTCTTAGCTTTCTTGCTCAAGACTAATGCTTGAGCTATACTTCCATCTCCAATTTTTTGGTGGTTAATTGGAGATAAGAGTCCATGGACTTTTTTTCTGGGCTGGCTTCAAACCACAATCCTCAGATCTCAGCCTCCTGAGTATCTGTGTATGACCTATTGGCACCCAGGCTCTTCTTATTTAGCTGGCATTACAGGCATGCCTGATATGAAAATACAATAGCAGCTCCTCCTTGAACAAATTATATAAAATCTGCCAACTCAGAAAACCTCTCTACAGGGGCTTGCAAGGTGGCTCAGTGGTAGAGTGCTTGCCTTACATGCATAAGGCCCTAGGTTCGATTCCTTAGCACCATATAAGCAGAAAAAGCCAGAAGTGGCACTGTAGCTCAAGTGGTAGAGTGCTAGACTTGAGCTGAAGAGCTGAGGGACAGAACCCAGGCCCAGAGTTCAGGCCCCATGATCAATGAGAGAGAGATTTAGAGAGAGAGAGATTGAGAGAGAGAGAGAGAGAGAGAGAGAGAGAGAGAGAGAGAGAGAGAGAGAGAGAGAGAGAGAGAGAGAGACCCCTCTACAAAGATAGAAGAAAAAAGAAAGCACTTCTATCATTGACCAAGCATTAACTAGAGTGGGTTGTATATCATAGTCTGCTAAGAGATTATACACAAAAGGGAATCCTCAGCCTTTCATGCAGCCAGTGGGTGGACACTGCATGCTTTCTAGCAGGTGCCTGGGCTTTGAGATAAACAATAATTGTATTCAAGGGAGAGGACTGCATGGACTGCATGGCACCATTGGTCACACAGAGTTCAACTTAGACTTTCCTAGTAATTGGGGCGACCATCAATGTTAGTTAAGGTCCTTTATCCAGATGAAGACAAGGCTCAAATTCTAACCTCTAGGACAGGAGGTCAGTTCACATAGTGAAGCTGGGTGCCTACGGCAGTAGGGTGACCAGCTTATCCCTGGCCACAAGCGTGAGTAGGGGAGAGGGTGACTCCTTTCATGCATCATTTATATTTCAGAGGTGGCATTTGAGAACGATCATCCATCCCATACATAGCTTAATGCAACAAGTGACTTAGTTTCTAAAAAGATGCATTTCAAAGAATCAGAGGAAGTTCTTACATATTTTCTAAGGTACTATGTGACAGAAAGAGGGGAAGGACATCTTCCCTCATTTCCAATAGGGTGAATTAAGCCCCCTTTCTTTTTTCCCTCCATCCCTCCTTCTCTCTTGTTTACCCTCTCCTCTCCTCCCCTCCCCTCCTCTCCTCCCCTCTCCTCCCCTCCCTTCCCCTCCCCTCTCCTCCCCGCTCCTCTCCTCTCCTCCCCTCTCCTCTCCTCTCCTCCCCTCTCCTCTCCTCTCCTCTCCTCCCCTCCCTTCCCCTCTCCTCCCCTCCCCTCTCCTCTCCTCTCCCCTCCTCTCCTCCCCTCTCCTTCCCTCCCTTCCCCTCCCCTCTCCTCCCCGCTCCTCTCCTCTCCTCCCCTCTCCTCTCCTCTCCTCCCCTCTCCTCTCCTCTCCTCTCCTCCCCTCCCTTCCCCTCCCCTCCCTTCCCCTCTCCTCTCCTCTCCCCTCCTCTCCTCCCCTCTCCTTCCCTCCCTTCCCCTCCCCTCTCCTCCCCACTCCTCTCCTCTCCTCCCCTCTCCTCTCCTCTCCTCTCCTCCCCTCTCCTCTCCTCTCCTCTCCTTCCCTCCCTTCCCCTCCCCTCCCTTCCCCTCTCCTCTCCTCTCCCCTCCTCTCCTCCCTTCTCCTTCCCTCCCTTCCCCTCCCCTCTCCTCCCCGCTCCTCTCCTCTCCTCCCCTCTCCTCTCCTCTCCTCCCCTCTCCTCTCCTCCCCTCTCCTCCCCTCCCTTCCCCTCCCCTCTCCTCCCCGCTCCTCTCCTCTCCTCCCCTCTCCTCTCCTCTCCTCCCCTCTCCTCTCCTCTCCTCTCCTCTCCTCCCCTCTCCTCTCCTTTCCTCCCCTCCCCTCCCTTCCCCTCCCCTCCCTTCCCCTCTCCTCTCCTCTCCTCTCCTTCAATACTTTATGTGCAGATCACAGGTCATCTGCACAGAAATCCTTTCTTTTTCATTCCTATTTTCCCCTACACTTAGGAAAGAAGGAAGCATTTCACCTGTCCATCGTGTACAGTGCCACCCAGCTGTCTTCTGTCCTGATCTCACTTTCACTGTGGGGTGGGGTGTGGGCCGTGGGATTTGGTTGTGAACCCCAGAGAAGAGCCTGCCCGGCCCTGCTTATTGTTCCAGGAAGCCCACAAGTGGACAGTCCACTTCTGAGCACCAAGTTCTGACTTCCCAATTCAGCCCCCGGACCAGTTCAGAAGCTTACATAAAATAAAGGCTCCTAGTGCTTCCCTAAAGTGAATGAGCCCGGAATGTCCATGTAAGGTCACCCATGTGGTTCTTACTGATGGTCTCCTTGAGAATCTTCAAGGGCCCATCAAAAGGAGAGAAAGAGGGTAGCCTCCTTATAATCTGCCTCTGGTATCCAAATGAATGACTTCCTCCTTCCCCCTTGACTCCCCCCTCCCCGCTTCTCAGGGAAGTGGTCACAGGAAGAGACCTGAGTGTAATTTTCGGGAGAAGCATTTTGTAAAGGAGTGGGTTTGAGCCCATGTTATTCTGTAACAAATGAAGTCTTAATTATGATTTAAGTTTCTAGTCTTTACATTCTTTTCTTTAAAAAACATTTTTACATTCTTGTCCTGAAAACATGAAGATTAAGTTAAAAACTATTATTTCTAAGTGGGTACCAGTCAGTGGCTCAGGCCCATAATCCTAGCTACTTACTCAGGAGACTGAGATCTGTAGCTTGAAGCCAGCCCTGGCAGGAAAGTCCATGAGACTCTTATCTCCAATAAGCTAGTCAGAAAAAGCCAGATGTGGCACTGGGGCTTAAGTGGTAGAGCTCTATCTTTGAGCACAAAGAGGATCAGAGATAATGCCTAGGACCTGAGTTCAAGTTCCAGGACTGGGGGAAAAATCCTAACTATAAAAGTAACATATGACTTATAAAATTTTCCCTTTTAGAGAAGTTTTAGGTCCACAGTGAAAACAGCAGAAATGGAGTGGAATGTACAGAACACTCCATGCCCTCTGCCTTCTACTATTAATGTCCTGATGATCTGTGTATTTGGCTGGTGCTCCACCATTTGTGTCACACTTCCACTTCTGGCTTTTTTTTCTGGTTAATTAGAGATTTGGATTTGTCTGCCTGGACTACCTTTCAGCCACAATCCTCAGATCTCAGCCTCCTGTGTAGCTTGAATTACAGGTGTGAGCCACTAGCACCTGGCTCCTATGCTTTTGTTGTTGTTGTTACTGAGGTTTGAACTCAGGGTCTGGCGCTCTCATGGTTTGTTTGCTTACAGCTGGTTCTCTGTCACTTGAGACATGTCTTCAGCCCTGCTTTTGGCTGGTTATTTTGGAGATGGAGTCTTGAAGACTTTTCTGCCTGGCCTGGCTTTGACTTGGCATTCTTTGGATCTCAGCCTCCTCAGTGGAGGAGGCACGAGCCACCAGCTCCCTAGCAACCTATGCCTTTTAATAAAAATTTGAAAAATACCAAAAAGGGCTGGGAAGGTGGCTCAGTGGTAGAGCACTTTCCTTGCATGCATGAGGCCCTGGGTTCGATTCCTCAGCACCACAGAAGCAGAAAAAGCTGGAAGTGATGCTGTGGCTCAAGTGGTAGAGCGCTATCCTTGAGCTGAAGAGCTGAGGGAGGGTGCCTAGGGCCCAGAGTTCAAGCCCCATGACTGACAAAAAAAAAAAAAGATACAGAAAGAATAAAACACCTTACCCAAATCTACCACCCACAGAGAGCCTAATTACCATTTTGATGTATTTTGTCACCCTTTTTCTTCAATCAGCGTAATTTACCAAACTGTGAGCCAAAATATATCCATGTGGCACCAGATGATGAGAATTATGTTTCCAAAGGCTTCAAAAGCATGACTTTTAATGGGCTCTTCTAATGTGTGGTGCTTGGCCTAACACTTCAGTGGCAGGAGTTTGATTTGTGGTTCCTCTCTGATTTCAGATGGACGTGGGCACCATTTACAGAGAGCCCCGTGAGTTCTCATCCCTTTGGCTGTATCCTTGCATTTTGCTTCTTGGGGACACTCATTTGGGGAGTTCACTTTCCCCCCTTGGGGGGAGCGGGTTGTAGGAAGAAGGAAGGAATTCATCTGCTATGCAAAGCTAGCCTTCAGGAGGATCAAACCCTCAAACAGTTGAGGGTCCAAGGTCCAAACAGTCTCAATCCAAGAATAATCAGCCTGGAAAGGTTGCTGGAGCCTAGGCTCACCTGAGGGATGGGGTACTTGGTGATGAGTCCAGATTTCTTTCCTTATTTTAGTTCTGCTCTGATCTGGTCACTTTGTGCGAAAGTGGAAAATGTCCTTTGGTTCAGCTTTTATAGCCACTGTAGATGTTCTGTTACTAGTTCTGACTTTGACCTGCATAAACACTCAAAGTATCTAGATTTTAATAAAAAGTTTGAGACATATACTTACTTCCCAGTATCACCAGGTATGGATTATATCATGATCCTGAGTAGCTAAATCCATTCTTCAGGCTTTTATTGAATGCCTGTGGCATTCTATGATAACTCCAGTCTCTGGTCAGTGTTGTGAGCTCTTGGTTTCATAGCCTCATGGATTGTAAGAGTTTGAGTCCTACCTTTTCCTCCAGTGGAGGAGTCCTGTATCATACCATCTACGGTTCATCCTGGGCTTCTGCCCTGGCTGCTAACTTGAGGGGGGGTCTTCCGATTCTGGGGTCATCTATATATACTGTCTCCTTTAGGGCATGCCTATATCAGGAAATGGCTGCTGCTCTCGGACCCTGATGATTACTCTGCTGGGGCCAGAGGCTACTTGAAAGCCAGTCTGTGTGTGCTGGGGCCTGGAGACGAAGCTCCCGTGAGTATCTTTCCCCAGATCTTCCTCACAGTGTCTCACAGAGCACCTGGTGGTGGCATGACACAGAATCCCAAATATTTTAATTGCTTTTTTTCTGATTTAAAAGAACACGTGATAATTGTGCAAACTGTAGAAGTACAACATGTAGGAAAAAAAAAAAACCCTTTAAGAATGAACCACTCATGATTCTACCACTAGGAAAGAGCCAATATTAGCATCACACATCTTTCTTCCAGGGTATACATGTGTAGTTTTCCTTTTACAAGAGTGTGATCATTCTCTGTATATCATATTGCAGCCTGACTTCCATTGCTTGAAAATGCATCATGAGCATCTATAACCTCAGTAGCGAGGTTATAAATGGGAGGTGGTAACTACGAAGTGTTTGTAGTAGGAGGTGTCAGTGGTAAGAAGGTTTGGAATAATTGTTGAGAAAAGGAGTCTAGGCACTGGAGTATTTAGGCCCTGTGAACACGCTGGGATTGAGTGTTTTACAGCAAGGATGCTGAAGCAGGTTTCCGTGTGCCAAGAGTATGCTGAGTGAGAAGCAGGGCAAGTCTGTGGGGCCAGGCAGATCTCATTTCTCTCCTGCCCCTTCACGGCCTAGCTGCCCAAGTACAACTGCCTGGATCTCTGTTCCTCTTCACTACCAACTGGGGATGCCTCCTCTGTCTGGGTGCCTGGGTCTCAAGCTGGGATGAGCAGGGCTGATGCCCTGCCCCTTCCCTCTCGTTGGTATAAACTCCCTTGCTCTGCGCCCTCCAAGCCTGTACTAGGCTTCATCTTGCTCATCTACAGAGTAGAGGCATTCTAGGGTTTTGTACCCAGAGAATCACCTATGGACCAGTACTTTGAGTATCTATCCATTCATATCGAGGACCATTTAAGTTTCTCAAAGCAGATGATAGAAGAATGTAATGAGAAGGCACAGAAAAATCAATAAATGTTGGAGGTTATGTTTATTATTAATGTTCCCATCAGAATGCACAGCATATGTTGGTGCCTTTATTTGTGTGTGACTCCTGCATCTCTAAGGCCAGGACTTCTGTCAACCTTACTCTGCATTAGGCTAACACCTAGTATTAGGTAAATGCTTGTGTGAGTGAATAGATGTTCCTGGACATGTATGAAATGGCTAGCTTAGGCTGCTGTTGCTACCGTCATTTCATAACTGGGGGATTCAGGGAGGGACTGGGGTTGGTTGGAAGGCTGCTGCATGCAATTACATCACCGTTGCACGTGATTCTGCCAGCAGAATCAGCACTAATTGTCAGCACTATTGTCCCCACTGTGCTGATGAGAGGTGGATGAGGTGAGAGGTCATAGCCCATTCTGAGCATGATTTAAAGTGGTAAGTTGAGACCTTAGCAGAGAGACATAAAACATTGTGCTCAGAAGTACATGAAGACTCAGCTTCAGAGAGACAAAGCACTCATGTTTTCCCTAATATGTGGAAGATAGATCTAAATTATAAATGTATATGGAAACATATACACGGTCATATGTGTATAACACAGTCCTATTGACTAAAGTAGGATGATTGCAGGGGAGGATTGAAGTGGTGCAATGCCTTTAAACAACTAACCTATAGTTTAATGATACCACAAAGCAGAAACATGTGCTGTTGGGAGTAGGGAGGATGGGCAAGAGGAAGGCTGGAGAGGGGAAGGATGAATGAATATAATAAAATATACAGATGTAACTATGGAACTAGGTAACTTGAGAGGATGGGTGGGGTTGGTAGAGATGGGAGAGAAGGCTGAAAGGGGTGACATACTCATAAGCTGACATGTTGAATGGAAACCCCTTGGTACAACTACTTGAAGATTAAAAAAGAAATAAAGAGCAGGAAGAAGCTGATTGTTTTGCATCGTAGCTGGACAAAAGAGACCCCTCTGAAGACAAGGAGGACATCGAAGGCAACCTACTCAGACCAACAGGTGTGGCCCTTCGAGGAGCCCACTTCTGCCTGAAGCTCTTCAGGGCTGAGGACTTACCACAGAGTGAGTATGGCGCCCCCTCTGGCGTGCAGGCCTGCCAGAAGCTTCTGCTGGGCCATTGTGATGGTGGACCCGAGCCAGGCCATAGTCTACTCCCTGGGGGAAGGAGAGGCCTCCAGCTGTGGGTCCCTATGCCCTTTCCCGGCATCCCTCCCCCCAAAGGATGAGCCCTCTGCTTCTTCTCTGCCTGTGTTTAGCCAGTGCTGGCCAGCTTTTCTACTCACTGTCTGGATGATGCTTCAAACCCTCCTTAAATTTCCTAGGGTTTTTATTTGTTCATTCTTTTTCTATTTTGATAGTTAAGCAACCAGAATTTCTTTGCCTGGTAGTGCTGGGAATTGAACCGAGGGCTTCACAATTGCTAAGGATGCTCTCTACTGCTGAGCTACAGCTGCAGCCTAGCAATCAGAACTTACTGGAAGGAAACACACCTGGTAGAGTTAGAGTCAAGCATCTAGGTACTAGCACTAGAGTCCTAGTGTTCCTTTGGCTCCACTCCAGTGCCCTCTGGTCTTCTTATCAAGCCCACTCTGAGGACTTTCCATGGGTCTCACTGGGGGAGGCAGCGCCATCTGCTGTCAGGATGGAGCTCACTGATTTCCTTTCCCTCTGTGAAAAGCTCAGGTGGACAGGCCCTGGCAGGGAGTACAGGCTGAGATGTTGGGAGAGTTTCCTTGAGATAATTGTCTGCACAGATGATAAACACAGCTCTGCTAGGTGGCCCACCAACCCTATTTACCTAGGACCACCCTGGTTTTAGCACAGAAAGTCCCATGCTCCAAGAAACTCGTCAGTGGATGACAGATCACCTGACTTGTGATTTTCTCCTTACCCTCCCAGCAAAGCCAGTGTGGCATTTACTAAACACAAAGTTGTACTGAATATCCCAGGGCCATGGGAGGCATTCCTAGCCTCACAGAACCACCTAGAGAAGGCTTTAAAAAGTCAGATGCCAGGACCGCACCTGATCAGCCTTTCAGATTAACTTGGGATGGGGTTACAGGGTGGTGATGTTTAGATGTTCCCCAGGTGAGCCTGGGGAGCATCGGTTGTAAGCCACTATTTTAGAGCAGTGTTAACATATGCCAGCAAGCTATCAAACAGTTTTACAAGTTTCCATAGAGGTGTTTGTTTATATTTAATGACATCAATAAATGAAATAATGAGGTTTTTTGGGGGGTATTACTGGGGTTCTTGAACATGTGCTTATGAGTCAGGTGCTCTTACACTTGAGTCATGGCACCAGCTCTTTTTTAAATTACTTTTTTGGGTGAGAGCTCTTACACTCTTGCCTGGGGCCAGCTTAGGACTAAGATTCTCCTACTTCAGCCTCCTGAGTAGCTGGGTTACATGCTTGAGCCACTTCTGCTGCCCAGTGTGCTCAGGAGCTACTGTTCTGAGAGTGCTTGGGCTGAGCCAACTATGAGGCGCCACACCCAGTGTCTCACCCAGGAAGTCCCAGACTGCTTAGAGCCAGATGGATGAAAGTTGGGACCTGGAAGGGGCAGTTGGTGAGCAGTGACCAGTCTGTCCTTCTCCCCAGTGGATGATGCTGTGATGGACAACGTGAAACAAATCTTTGGCTTTGACAGTAACAAGAAGAACTTGGTGGACCCCTTTGTGGAGGTCAGCTTCGCCGGGAGAATGGTAAGGAGCCACCCGTGGCAGGGGGTGGCTGGGGGTCCTGTGAACAAGCCCCAGATGGCACAGGACAGAGTGAAGTGCTAGTCTCCTGACTAGCTAGGATTACAGGTAGGAGCCACCGGTATCTGGCTTACCAGAGTCATCTTTCCTGACCCCAACCTCTCCACTCCAGAAACCTCCATCTTAATGGGGGTACCACCGGCAGAGTGCATGCAACTGTGTGAATTCCTCCCTCTTTTCTTCTTTTCACATCAAATATGCCACATGAAGCTCTTGATTTCAGATATGCCCACCCCCAGACCCAGCCTTTCCCTGTTTCCCCATAGCCATGGACATCTCTCCTCATGACCATCCAATAGAACTCTCTGAGGCCATTTTTCTTAATCACATGATGTTGTTTGGGAGAGTCCATGCTGTTTATCCAAGAATAGATTCTCTGTTTGTTTCCTTTTGGTATTATTTAACTTGATTCTTTTTTTTTTTTTTGGCTCCCGTATTTAACTTGATTCTTATGGCTCCTGTATTTCCTGTCAACTGAAGTTAGGCCTTTTGACTCGATTAGATTCCGATGCAATATTTTGCCAAGAATTCATCACAGGTGATATTCTGTATGGCATATTGCAACACAAGAAGCAAGCTGTCTGCTGTCTGTCAGTGTGATCACCATCTAGTCCCTTGGTTAAGGTAGTGTTTCCAGGTCTCCCCTCTTGCAGAAGCAAACATTCCCCCTTTGTAATTGGGAAATCCTCGGGAGTGATACCTACATCTTAGCACTTTCTGTTCTTTATTTTTTAAAATTATTATAAAGATGATGTACAGAGGGGCTACTGTTACACAGTCAGGTAAAGAGCACATTTCTTTCTTTCTTTCTTTTTTTTGGGTCCGGTCGTGGGGCCTGGACTCCGGGCCTGGACGCTGTCCCTCAGCTCTTCAGCTTAAGGCTAGCGCTCTACCACTTGAGCCACAGCACCACTTCGGGCTTTTTTTCTTTTTGCTTATGTGGTGCTGAGGAATCGAACCCAGGGCCTCATGCTTCCAAGGCGAGCGCTCTACCACTGAGCCACCTTCCCAGCCCAAGAGCACATTTCTTTTGGATAATGTCACCGTTCAATACTTTCTAGAGCATCAGCTCTAGGCATCCATGGATCTTTGCCTCAATAAGAGGGTAGGTTTCTTTTTTGGTTTTTTTTTTTTATTTTAAAACATTTTATTATTATTATTATCTTTAAGTAGTTGTACAAAGAAGTTCCCATTCTACAAAACAGTATATGGATACAAGGTGTCTGACAACATTGTCACCCATCATTCCTAACCCATGAGGGCAGGTTTCTTACTACCCTCCTAGTTTTTCTTTATTAACTGCATCTTTATGTAAACAGCATTTTTGCCCAGTCTCTTTATTCTCATGGGCTCAACAATTTTTCTTTTTTTTCTTTTTTTTTTTTTTTGGGTCCGGTCGTGGGGCCTGAACTCTGGGCCTGGGCGCTGTCCCTCAGCTCTTCAGCTCAAGGCTAGCGCTCTACCACTTGAGCCACAGCGCCACTTCTGGCTTTTTTCTTTTTGCTTATGTGGTGCTGAGGAATCGAACCCAGGGCCTCTGGCATGCAAGGCAAGCGCTCTATCACTGAGCCACCTTCCCAGCCCCTCAACAATTTTTCTTATTTCAGCCTATTGAAGTCGATCATTGTGTTTCCCATTCACGTGATTTTAAGGCTGCCTATTAGGAGCCCCTCCTGGCTGGCTGACCCTCTTCAGAGCCTACCACAGAGTCTCTGTGAAAATGACTGATGAGCAAAGTAACTGGATTTTCAGCTCATTCATACTGAGCTGTAAATGCTCTCTGTAGATCCTTACCCTGTGCAGGGTTTTTTTTTTTTTTTTGTCAGTTGTGGGTCTTGAACTCTGGGCCTGGGCACTGTCTCTTCAGCTCAAAGCTGGTGCTCTACCACTTAAGCCACAGTGCCACTTATGGTTTTCTGTTGGTTAATTGGAGATAAGTGTCTCCCGGCTTTTCCTGCCTGGGCTGGCAGGAAACCTCAATCCTCAGATCTCATCTTCCTGAGTAACTAGGATTACAGGTGTTAGCCACCAGTACCTGGCTCTGTGCAGGTTCTGATTTGGGTTTGAAGTCTTGTTTCTGATGCTCTGTAGGGGCCGGAATGGATGAAGGAGAAAGGAAATGGGAAGTTTTCCTAGACAGTTTTTGTTTCAAAGACCTGGAAAATGGATGGCTTAGTTCTACATTCCCAACATTATAGGGTGCTGTGGCAGTGGCTGAACCCAAGAGTGACTTGCCTCAAACATTTCTTCTTTGAGAGCTATGTCTCATAGCTTAGATGTTCCTGCTGCCTTTGTGGCTGCTCTGGCCTCCCTGGGCCTTCCATTCTGCAGTCTTCTGTCTGGACTTAGAGAAGTCTCTAGCAAGGAGTAGGTATCTAGATGGGCAAGGAGGTAGATAGAGCTAATGGGTGCTCAGGCTTAGGCAAGAAGCCCCTGACCCCTGTGGAGGGGCTCAGGAGCTGGGGTGCCTGGGAAGAGCTGGTAGAAAAGGGACAGCTTAAACCTCCTTGATAGCTTCAGCCTGCATAGTCATCTCTGCTTTTCAGGCCTCTTCTCTGCTCTGAGCCACCTCCTGTGACCTTGTCTCATTTGGTGTGTCCTTCTCTCTGGATTTTGTGTCACCATATCTCTCTCTTTTTCTACCACTCCCTCTTCTCCTCCCCCTCCCCTCTCTCTGCCTCTCATGCCTGTTTGGGGGCTTGAAATCAGAGTATGAGCACTGTTCCTGGGCATTTTTGGACAAGGCTAGCACTCTATCACTTGAGCCACAGCTCCACTTTTAGCTTTTTGGTGATTACTTAGAAATAAGATTCTCATGGTCTTTCCTGCCTGCACTGAGTTCAAATCTGGATCCTCTGTTCCCAGCCACCTGAGTTGATAGGTTTACAGGTATGATGCACAGGCAATGAGTACCTCATTATATTCTAATTTAAAAAGCCTCAGGATTTGTCTACCTATCCTACTTGGATATCTTTGCATTTCCTCCTATGGACACTTGGTGGCACTGTTGTCCAAGATGTAAACCAAACAAGATTTGACCAAGTTACTAATGTGGATCTCTGTGTGTGTGTGTGCGTGTTCACTCATGTCTTCATATCTGGGAGAAGGGAGGGGAGATAAGACAGGACAGGAGGCCTTAAAACTTTTTTTCTTTCATATAAAGCTTTAAAACTTTTCTGTTGGGTGCACTTATAAAAATATTACAATGAGAGGCTGGGAAGGTGGCTCAGTGGTAGGAGTGCTTGCCGAAATGGTCAGATAAGTTGATGTTAGGCAAAATGAACCCCAAGATAATGACTCAAATGTTTTTTCTTGCTTGCTATTGTTTCTTTCTTTCTTTCTTTTTTCTTTATTTGTTTTGTTGGTCATGGGGCTTGAACTCTGGGCTTGGGTGCTGTCCCTGCGCTCTTCAGCTCAAGGTGAACGCTCTACCGCTTGAGCCACAGTACCACTTCTGGTTTTCTAGTGATTTATTGGAGATAAGAGTCTCATGGACTTTTCTGCCCAGGCTGGCTTTGAACCGTGATCCTCAGATCTCAGCCTCCTGAGTAGCTAGGATTACAGGTGTGAACCACCAGGGCCTGGCTCTTGTTATTGTTTCTAACATATTTATAAGATATTTCTTTGTTGCTTTGTATGTCCCTCCCCCACAGTATAACCCCTGTTTTCACTGTATTTGATGTTGGTATAATTTGTGGAGGGGAAGGGAAAAAGCAAATAGTTTGAATAGGGATACAGGTGGACACATTGCAACAATGAGATATACAAGACGGTATATCGAAAAACGAACTTTACAACTTTGGCATGGGGATTGGGGGGGCATGGGGGGGAGAGAGATGGGAAGGGATGGGAAGGGGAAACAAAGGAGGAGGCTACAATGCTTGATAAGAAATGTACTCATTACCTTGCCCATGTAATTGTAACCCCTCTGTACATTTCACAATAAAAAAAAAAAAGAGTACTTGCCTTGCATGCATGAGGCCCTGGGTTCCATTACTCAACACCACATAAACACAAAAAGCTGCAAATGGTGCTGTGGCTCAAGTGGTAGAGGGCTAGCCTTGAGCTGATTGCTGAGGGACAGTGCTAGAGTTCAGGCCCATGACCAACCAAAAAAAAATATGTTTATATATTACAATGAAACTCCTTTGTATGATACAATCTGCCTATAATAATATTTTTTTTAACAAATCCTTCTTTTCCTGAGTGTAAGAATAAAACACATTGTTATGAAATTGAAAAAAAAATCAAAGCAAAGGAAAATTAAACATTTCTGTGTTCACATTATCCTTGACACAACTCCTGCTTGTTAGCATGTGGCTTTCCTTCTGCCTTTTTTTTTTTTTTTTTCCTGCAAACCACCCCACCCAGGGCGGTGCCCTTCCCGATGTCTCAGCTAGAAATGTTATAAATGTGTCTTTTTCTTTGATGATTCCACTGTTTAAAATGGCTTCAGAGCCCAGCATTGAGGTACTGTCCGGAGATTTTTCTCTTACAGAAAAGATAGGCATACGGTTGGCTTCACTCAGGTGCAAGGCACAAAGCCCATGCCATGAGTTCCATGTGAGTGAATCAAGAATATGAACTCCGGGGCCCTTCAGCAGAAACACATGAAACAAGGTTATGTGTTGACCAGTTGACCAGAACGTGACCAAGGCTGGCAGTAATTTCACATCATTTTTCCTGATGACCTTGTAGAGTCTAACTACTATGAGTAATGAGAATTGTGTCTATGAAGTCTGTAAACTGCTTTTAACATTGACTATTTCCTTGGGTTATTAAAAAGTCTTTGAAATCTAAACCTCAAAATTGCTAGGCAAGAGTTCTATCACTTAAACTATACCTCAGCCCTGCCCTCCCTTTTCAGATAGGGTCTTGAGACTTTTGCCCATGGCCAGCTTCAGATCACGATCCTCCTACCTGTGCCACAGCAGTAGCTGGGATTAAGAATATGAGGCATCATGTCAAGATCTGAAATCTTTGATAGTTGTATACTATTCCAATAGATGAATATTCTAAGCAGATACATGTGTGTATATTTATATGTATGCATACATATATAATACATATATATAGTTTCAATATTCTTTTTTATCATTTTGGGTCTTATTATGTATCTCAAGATAGACTTAAATCATAATCTTTCTGCTTCCTTCTTATTCTGAGTACTGGGATTATAGGCATGTACCACCACACACAATGTTCAATTTTCCCCTTTTATAAATAACAACCCCAAACACACAGGAATATTTGTCCACCCTCCACTTTCCCCTAGGGAAGTTTCTGGAACTGGGATGATTAGATGATGATGATGATTATTGTTGGATTATTATTCTAGAATTGGGATTATTATTATGCTTGTTTTTAGGTATTGGATAGGGATGGCCAGACATCCATACAGAAAGGCTGTTCTCATTATACTCCCCTGGGAAGTGAAGGAGAGTAAAGAGTGAAGGTAGGGGTGAAGAGGAGGAGGAGAGGAAGCACAGTGCTCACCTGGGGAGGCCAGAGGCAGTGCTGACCTGAACCATGACAGATGGACCAGCTGCTGTGCAGTCTCCATGCTCACTTGCCAGTGGCTCTTTCAGAGGGAGCCCCAGGGGATGGGTTCAAGTGCTTGTTGTGGAAGAGGCCCCAGATTTCTTGGGTGACATCCAAGTGGCCCTGCATGTAAGGAGGACAGTGTGGGTAAGGCCTCTCATTGTGTCTAAGGAGTTCTTTTTTTAAATTGTTATATATTTCTTGGATTAGATATCATCAATCTACCAAATGCATTTATCCTATTATCTATCTATCATCTATCTTCCTATCATCTATCAGTCTTCATCATCATCTATCATCTATCATCTCTCTCTCTCTCTCTCTCTTTTGTTTTTTGTCAGTTGTGAGGCTTATGTTCAGGACCTGGGTGCTGTCCTTGAGCTCTTTTGCTCAAGGTGAGCTCTCTACCACTTTGACCCACAGGGCCACTCCCAGTTTTCTGGTGGTTAATTGGAGATACAAGTCTCATGGGCTTTCCTTCCCAGCTGGCTTTGAACTTCGATCCTCAGATTTCAGCCTCTGGAGTAGCTAGGATAACAGGTGTGAGCTACCAGTGCCCGGCAATCTCTCTTTATCATCATCCATCCATCCATCCATCCATCCATCCATCCATCCATCCATCCATCCTCTCCCTCTTGCTTTTTACCCCATCTAATAATCTATTTACTCACTTTGCAAAGACCCCCATTGCATTTAGTTTCTTTCATAACATTTTGCTTTCCTTATGTGTGTGCAAGATCTGTGATTATAGATTGTTATCTTTCATTCTCTTAGTACAAATGGTTGGGTCAGGGTGCTGGCAGCTCACACTTGTAACCTTAGCTACTAAGGAGGCTGAGATGTGAGGATACTGAGTCAAAGTCAATCCTCAGCAAGAAAGTCTATGCAATTCTTATTTCCAATTAACCAGCAACAACCTGCAAGTGGAGCTGTGGCTCAAGTGGTTTCGTGCCAGCCTTGAGAAAAAATACAAAGGAACAGTGCTCAGGCCTTAACTTTTCAGCGTCAGTATCAGCATTCACAACACACACACACACACACACACACACACACACTCAGAGCTGAAAATTACATCCACTTTGCACTTTGGACTCTACTTCATGTAAAACTTGGGGGTTGTTTCAACTCTGTGTACACAGTGGCCCACATTCTTTTTCTGAACTGTATAGTATACCATCTTGTGGATGAACTATAATCTACACAACTTGTCTTCTAGTGGCAGACACCTGACTTGTCCATGCCACAGTAAGTAACTTCACACACATGTCATTGCGCCCAGGTACAGGTACTTGTGTAGGATAAATGTCTAGAGGTAGAATGGATAGGCCACAGAAATGTGTTTGTAATTTTAATAGCTGTCAATTGCCCCCTAGGGGAGTAAAATGATTTCATTTCCTCACACAAAATATGAGAGGGCATTATGGAGATGTTTCCAAGTCTGATGTATGAGAGATAGTGTCTCATTAATTTTACTCAAGGTTCTTTTATTATTAGTGAGGCGGGCATCGTTTTCTAAGCTTTACTCTTCCTGGTGTTCCATTAGGTGTGTTCTATTCTTTGCCCATTGTTTGATGTTTGTCTCCTTGCTTACTCTTTCTCTCTGATAATTCTCTGCCAGGCTTTGCCTAGGCTTCTTTTCCAGGGAGGAGGGAGGAAGGGGAACAGCAGTTGGTGCTGGGAGGTCAGGGGATGCAGACAGGGAATGTAGTGACTTCATCCTCACTCCTGGAGACCTGAAGTCCCTGATCTAACTCAGGCGCTCATTAACTGAGACAGCACGCACAACATGCTGTGTGTGGCAGGATACGGGGCCTATAGGAAGAACTGTGCACATGAACATGCCAGCACAGCCCACTAGAATCGATGTAATCCAAACGGAATCTGCTGTCCCCATGTGTGGATACAGACGCCCTGGGGTGCCTGGTGTTCCCCCATGGACTCCAAGGACATAGTTGGCTTATGAGCCCCTGGCTTGGATCTGTTTCTTCTCTTGCTAAGTTTTTTGTTTGTGGCAAGCCTGGTCTTTGGTGCAAGGCTGCTGTGAGATGGCTGAGGCTTACAGCCTGTGTATTCTCATTGAATTTGGTTTTTCTCTTAGCTGTCTCCTCCTGCCCCTTTCCCTCCTCTCTGACTCTCCGGTGCTCCCAGTCTTCTAAACTGGCAGGTTGATCTGGGCTGGTGGGGAGAGGGAAGTGAACTAAGCCATGAGGCCTCTGGGAAAGGCAGTCAGGGTCATGGCTGTAATGGGAGGTGGGAGAGGAGCACTTGCAGCCATAGGTATGAGTTTAAGGTAGAAGGGTTGGGCTTTCTGATGCCCCACTTCCCTCTACCTCTGGGTCAACAGACTCTGTGTCTGAGCCCACTGCCTCAGGTTCTAAGGCTCTGGAACTGCCCAGCCCTCAGGGCAACCAGCAGTGGAGCCCCAGGTCCTCATGGACTTCCACCTCCAACTCTCCATGTCTCCTAGCTCTGCAGCAAAATCCTGGAGAAGACAGCCAACCCCCAGTGGAACCAGAACATCACACTGCCAGCTATGGTGAGCCTCAGCTCTCCCAGGACCCTTGGGACCCTGTGGGTATGGGAGAGAGAGAGAGAGAGAGAGAGAGAGAGAGAGAGAGAGAGAAATATTCTGGGCTCTTTGTCTCCCTAGCATCCTGTCAGTATCTTGGGCTTGTCTAAGGTGGGGTGCCATTTTCTTTAAAAGGCCCATTCTCAACCTACCACCCTTTCCCTCCTCAGTTTCCCTCCATGTGTGAAAAAATGAGAGTTCGCGTCATGGACTGGTGAGTTCTGCCATCTGAGGGGTTGCTGGGCCAGTTGGGGAGGGTAGGGGTGTGCTGGTAGGGCAGTCTTCCACAGCTGCAGGCAGTTTTGGGAAGCTTGCTCACAGCCCCCTTGGCCAGCAGATAGGACGCTGCGCTGCTGGCAGGAGAGGAGGGCGGAGGTGTCCATTGCCCAGGGCTTCTGAAGGACTTGGGGCTGGCTAAGTCCAGCAAGGAGAGCATTACTTGTCAGAGCCCGGAAGCAGGGCTCCTTGGGAACAAGATCTCTGACACCCTTGTGAGGGTGGAACAGAGGGGTCCCCCAGGCTGGGGAAAGTGGACCAGTAGGTATGGAGCAGGTGAAGCTGGTAACCCCTCACATACCTCTTAAAAATCATGGTGTCTAGCACTTGTTGACCACCTACTGTTACTTCCCATGACTGACTCCATCAGACACTTGCCTCTACTTCCTGGTCCTACTTCACAGACAAGTTGGGAGAATTCCGTGACTTGTCTGAGTGACAGCTGGAGAGTGGCAGAGGTCAGGTGTGGACCTCAGCCTGTGTCACCAGGTGCCACCGTCTCCTGCAGCCCACAGCCAGGTGTCCCCTCTGATACCCAAGGGGGACATTAACATAGGGCCCCACAAGGGTGACCTCTAGGACACTAAGTTTTCCAGAGAGAGAGAGAGAGAGAGAGAGAGAGAGAGAGAGAGAGAGAGAGAGAGAGAGAGAGAGTTGTCCTTTTTCTGCCCCCAGTCTTGGCCGTGTGGTTCCCTGGCATGTTCTTTGGTCTCAGGCCCATGGCACCCCCAACCAGGAGGCTAATGAGAGACTAGGGGAAAAACCCCAGGCCGCAGAGCCATTAAAGTGTGCGCCAGTTCCCCAGGCCTAAAGAAAACAGCTTGTGAGAATTAGAGGGAAGGGAGCTGGGGGGGTGGGGGGGGGGGAGCCAAGGGAGAGGCCTTGAGGGCCGTGACCACGGGTATGTGCAGCCCCAGGGGAAGCGGTTTGGGGGAGAGACACACTTGACACCCCCTGAGTGATGATCTCTGCATTCAGGCTGGCACAGAGAGGGGGGGGGGAAGGAGAGAGAGAACACGAGCGAGCAAGAGTGAGCACCCGGGTAGCTGCGTGTCTGTGTGCGTGTGGACGTGTGTGTTTGGGCTGTGGAGTGGGCCTGGCCCGGCTCCCTCTGAAGCTGTGTCAGAAGCATCAGCATACTGTACAATCCAAACACATTACCGAATCTGGTGGCTGAATCTCTGGTTTGGGTTGAAGTGGCATTTTTATTGTGAGTCTATTTTCAGACTCGCTGTATTTTCCAAAAGCAACCCCAAGCCCCAAAACCTAGTTCTTGGCCAGAAAGTATTCTGTTGCTACAAGTTCCTATCCCAAAAGAGCTTTCTTCCCAGAAAATACAGATAAACTTTGTTATTACCTGAATCCTGGAAATATGATATACTCCATATGGCCCCCTTTCCTCCCTGTAACTTAATCTTCCTCTCAAATTGTTTTAAAATTCCTTTTTCATTAAAAGACAAAAAAATTATTCGAGCTCTCCCCTGCCACCCCCCCCATATGTCCATAAAACAACCCCTCTCCTTCCATTCACTACACCTCCTCTTCTAATTCAGACAAGATCAGAGATCAGCTGCACAAATCTATTCAAGTCTTTGCCTTTTCAGGATTGGGCAAGAAGACACAGTTTAAAAATGACATCAGCTGGCTTATGCTTGTAATCCTAGCTACTCAGGAGACTGAGATCTGAGGATCACAGTTCAAAGCCAGCTTGGGCAGGAAAGCCCTTGAGACTCATCTCTGATTAACTACCAAAAAGCCAGAAATGGAGCTGTATGGAGCTCAAGTGGTAAAGCACTAGCCTTGAGTAAACAAAGCGCAGGGATGGTGGTGCACAGGCCCTGAGTTCAAGCCCCAGGACTGGCACTTTCTCTGTCTCTCTGTCTCTCTCTCTTTCACACACACACACACACACACACACACACACACACACACACACACACACACACACACACACACACTATCAGGTATCAGTTCTCAAGGAAATTTCCTTTTTCTAGTTCTGGTTAACGTCCCTCACCAAGACCAGAGGTACAGATTTGTGCTCTTTGTCTCATGTCCCGGTGAAAAATTCAAAATCAGGGCTCAATTACCATGCTGGAAATACACAGAGGAAGGGATTGACAGAGGCTGGTGGGGGGGGGGGGCGTCTCTCAGAGCTAGGATTTAACAGTAAAATAAGAGAAATAAAACCACCTGTTCGTTCTGATGTGTCTTTTATAATGGGGCTAGATGCATCTTCTGAAAGCTGTCTATGGCTGAAGTCCACAAGCAGGGAGAAGAGACAGAAATGGTGATGGGAGGGGCTGGAAGCACTCTTCTGGGAGGCGATGGGGCTGCAGGGCTCCTCAATCTCAACCTTTGGGTGGATAGCCTTGGGCTTTGCTGTGGATCCTGTTCTGTGCAATCCCTGGCCTCTGCCCACCAGATGCTGGCAGAACCCTCTTCTCATACCAAATCTGTCTCCAGATATAGACAAATATTTTCAGGGAAATCAGAACTACCAGACCAAGAACCACAAGTGTGAGCTTGCCCAGTGAGCAGCAGGTGGCTGTCTGTAATCAAAGTTCTGGTTTCCATGCCAGGCATATCTGGCCTTGGACCTTTGCAAATGAATTAAACTTCTTCACCCTCCTCAGCATCCTCTAAAATTGGGGCTAGTTGTAGGGCTTACCTGCTAAAAGCGAGCTAAGTTGTGGGATGCTTTTAGTTCAATGCTTGTCTTCGTAGGTCACTGCTAGCTATTAGTATTTATTATTATCATCAAGGAAGGCGGTGTGGGGGTCACAGGAAGGGTCTGCGTAGGAGAAAAGTGGCTAACAGATTATTATTCCTCATCCCTGACTCATAGGCCTCTAAGATGGTGGGGGAGGGAAGAAGTCTTTCTTCAGAGAAGCAGGGTGGTCCTGAGCTATATCAGGCAGCAGTATGTGTGATGACACAGGACAAGACCAGGAAAGGGGTGAGCAGTCCTGGCTCTGCTCCTTCCTCCCGGGTCTGACCGTGGAGATATGCCTGCACGTCATCTTCTTTGCCTGGAGAGCAGAGGTGCTAAGACAAGTACTTGTTGCTCAAGGCTGTGGTGAAACTCCTGCAGGATGGAGGTTCAAGTGCTTTGTCACATTCAAAGGCACATTCTGAAAGCAATGCAGCAATAATTAGCGCTGGCTAATTCAAGACTGTGGCTCTGGAGAGGGTTTTGATCTAGTCATCTGAGCTCCTCCTTGATCTTGCTAATTTATTAGCTCCTGGAAACCTCAGCTGCCCTGTTCTGGGAATTGGGTTCCCCAAGCACCCTTCTGCTCCCCATCCTGCCTGCTTCCGGCCTCCTCCCTGTCAACCTGCAGTCTGCCTACACAGAGCCAGACTGGTGGCCCAAGGGTGGTTGACCAATGTGATGTCTGATGGTTGGGCAACTGGACTAGGGGACTAGGTCCTTCGAGGAAGACGTAGAGCAAGCTTCCCTTCCAGTCCCTTCTTCCCTGGAATTACCAGGCCTCAGTAATATACACGATGCTGTCTGAGACCCTTGCCTCGATGATGTAAACTGAGGCAGTTTCGTCCTTGCGTGGGCTGTGGCCTGCATGCCCCTCCCATGTTCAGGCCCTCTCTGCTTTCTTGTTCTAGGGACCGCCTCACTCACAATGACGTTGTGTCTACCACCTACCTTGGTATGTCAAAAATCTCTGCTCCTGGAGGAGAAATAGAAGGTATGGTTCACCTGTGCTCTGCCCCTCCCCTAGCATGCGCTTTTCTATCCTACCTCTATCTTATACCTGTAGGTTATTTATTTATTTGTGTCAGTATCAGGACTTGAGCTCAGAGCCATCTTCTCTCTTACTTAGTGGGCCCTCTACCAATTGAGCCCGACCTCCAGTTCCAGCTTTTGTGAATTGGAGATAAGAGTCTCTTGGATATATTTTCCCTGGCTGGCTTCTAACTAGGATTCTCAAGATCTCAGCCTCCTGAGTAGCTAGGATTACAGGCGTGAGCACAGCGGGGTAACTCACTCTTGCAGAGAATATTAGTGGTTGTGGCTTCATCATCTACTGGGTTCTACATTGCCTACGTGTGAACTCCCGCAGGTTTTCTTTTGAAATAGCGTTTATTGGACTGTTAAAAAGTAGTTCATTGTCTTTTTTTTTGTCTGTTGTGGGGCCTGAACTCTGGGCCTGGGCGCTGTCCCTCAGCTCTTCAGCTCAAGGCTAGCGCTCTTCCACTTGAGCCACAGTGCCACTTCTGGCTTTTTCTGCTTATGTAGTGCTGAGGAATTGAACCCAGGGCCTCATGCATGCAAGGCAAGCACTCTACCACTGAGCCACTTTCCCAACTCTCATTGTCATTTTGTAATTTTTTTTCTGGTTCTGGGGCTTGAACTCAGGGCCTTGGCACTGTCCTTGAGCCTCTTTGTGCTCAAGGCTAGCACTCTACCACTTGAGCCACTGTGCCACTTCTGGCGTTTTCTGTTTATGTGCTACTGAGGAATTGAACCCAGGGCTTCATACATGCTAGGCAAGCACTTTACCACTAAGCCACATTCCCAGCTCTCATTTTGTAATTTTTTTTTTTTTGTCAGCCTTGGGGCTTGAACTCTGGGCCTGGGCGTTGTCCCTCAGCTCTTCAGCTCAAGGCTAGCGCTCTACCACTTGAGCCATAGTGCCAGTTCTGTGGTGCTGAGGAATCGAACCCAGGGCCTCATGCATGCAAGGCAAGCACTCTACCACTGAGCCACCTTCTCAGCCCCCATTTTGTAAATTTTTAAATAAAGAAACAATCTGAAAAAATAGAAAATGTACCCCCTGCAATCACCTATACCTCTATCATTCCAGATAAGAACTATGAATTTCCCTAGAGCCTTTTGTGTGTATGAATAAACATGCATGTTTGTGGATGTACACATACACTAATGTCTGTATATGCATACATACATTAAAAGGGAATTGTTTTGAAAATTGCTTTTAGTCACTTGACATCACTATATAGATGTCTTTTCATATGATTAAATGCTCTTCCAAGTGAATAAGAATTTACTGTGTATGTACTACCATCTCTTTAGTAAATGTTGAATATTTAGGTATTTTCTAATTTTTCTACATTAGGAAAAGCTAATTTTGCAATGGAATTTTTGTGAGTAAATCTTATGCATTCACAAGTTTTCTTTTTCAAAATGTAAGATGGACTAAACACTAAATCTGTGCTAGTGCATACTTTATCAGGGCCTCTCACATACTAGGCAAGTGTCCTGCTCCTGTCCCCAGCCCCTGCATTTTCTCAGGCTGAATATCTAGAGGGAGAATCGCTAGGTCAGGGGATGGCAATTTCTTTAAGGCCCAAGTTGCCCTACAAAAAGTCAGGGTTAATTTTTCTCCAGTCACTTCCATAGGCTTTATGTATTGTGCCCTCGCCACCACAGGCTAAAATAATATCAGAAAAGACTTTTGAGCCTGAAACCAGTGGCTCATACTTGTAATCCTAGCAACTCACAAGGAGGAGATCTAGAGCCAGCTAGGGCAGAAAATTTGTGAGACATCTCCAGAATAACCAGCAAAAAGCTAAACTGGAGTCATGGTTCAAATGGTTGAGAACCATCCACGAAGAAGAAACTCAAGCAAGCATGAGGCCCTGAGTGTCAAATTCTGGTATACACACACACACACACACACACACACACAATATATTCAATGGTGTTAATTGGATGGATAAAAATGATATCTCATTGTTGCCTTCATTTCCATTTTCATTGACATCTGGTAAATGGAACAACATAAATTTTAAAATATCATAAATTTTGTATGTAATATATGCTTATGCATTTTATAGTTTTTATAAATGTATTCTCCTGGTCCATGTTTTGGATATGTGTTTGTCTTTTTCTCACTGTTTGGTAAGAGTGTTATGTTTATAACAGACACTAACTTTTCCCCTTCTTATATGTGACAAATAATTCTGTTTTATCTTTATAGTTTTGACTTATAGAAACTTTAGTTTGTATGTAGCCAAATCTGTTCATATTTTCCTTAGTGAATAAGGACGGGATCTAACATGACTTAAAAAAAATTGTTCACTGGTGATACCAATGCTGCATTTTGAATACTCTGTTCCCTATATTTTGCAATGCTGACTTGTCACCTACTAAATTCCTTAATGTGTTCTTGGGCCTGTTTCTTGATTTTCTATTATCTTCAATTGGTATGTCTGCTTATTATTTCTTTGCTTTTTGTATCTGGGTTATGCTGGCTCTGTAAAATTAATTGGAAAGATTTAAAGTCTTCTCAAACATCTGGAACAGTTTATATAACATAAGAATATAGTCTTTTGAGGGTTTGAAATAATTCACCCATAAAACCATATGGGCTGGGTGCCCTTTTTGAGTGGGTGTAGTAATGGCTCTTTAAAAACTTTTCAATTCCTCCTGTGATCATTGTTATTTTTAGTTTGTTACTTTTACTTTAGTCAATTTTGATAATTTATATTTCCTAGAAAAACATCCATTACACTGAGGTTTTCAAATTTATTTACCTAGTGTTTTTCAGAGTAACCTTTTATAGTGAAAACAATTCATTCTACTTGGTGCTTTCCTTTTTTGCTGTTCCTATTGTGTTTGAATTTTCTTTTACTATTTTCTCAATTAGCCTCATTAGTTTTTTCTATTTAAACTTTATTGGAATTTTCATTGGTGTACTTTTAACTCTCTTTAGACTTATTTTACTGTTTCCTTTAAAAATGTTCTGACTAATTTAGGTTTATTTGAAAAATTTGCATTTAAATGATTCAAGTATAGTTTCTGCATTACGTGTCACATTTAAAAGGTTTTTGGCAAATGCCTAGGTTTTAGCTTTTTTGTCTGTGTTTGTGCTAGTACTAGGGCTTCAACTCAGGGGCTACATGCTGCCCCTTACCTATTTCACTCAACTCTAGCACTTTACCACTTGAGCCCACACTTCTGCTTCTGATTTTCTGATGGTTAATTGGAGATACGAGTCTCAAGGATTTTCCCACCCCAGCTGGCTTTGAACTGCTTTCCTCAGCCTTTTGAGTAGCTAGTCATTGGTGCCCAGCTTTAACTCTATGTAAAATATTAACATTTTTCACACTTAAATATTTAATCTATTTTGACATATTTTCTGAGACCAGTATGACTTGAGTCATGTTTTTTTCTGACTAGACACTGCTTATAGGAATTTAATGTTTTTTTTTTTTTGTCATGGGGCCTGAACTCTGGGCCTGGGCACTGTCCCTCAGCTCTTCTAGCTCAAGGCTAACACTCTACCACTTGAGCCACAGAGCCACTTCCGTCTTTATGTGGTGCTGGGGAATCGAACACAGGGCCTCATGCATGCAAGGCAAGCACTCTACCACTAAGCCACCTTCTTAACCCCTTTCTTTTGAAGTTTTGAAAATACCAGTTATATAATGATTAATTATGGGAATAAATTCTGTGAATGCTTTGCTGGGTGATTTTTGTTGTTCAGACACCAGAGAGTATCCTTACACAAATAAACGATGCCACTAGTTGCTACAATCTTCTGCCACTGTATAGTACCTGGGCCCATTGTTGACCAGAGCGCCTCACCCTGCCTGTAATATATCAGAGACTCTTTTCACTGAATTTTGTCTGAGAGTGGTGAATAGCTAAGATTGAGGAAATGGATATTTTGTATACTAGCTATGTGTAGAGAGCTGAAGGCAGGTTGGGGTAATGGTAAGTGCGCTAGCATTGGAGCTGGCCATCTTGGGCTTAGATTCTGTCAACTCTGCTACTTTGTAACCTAGAGAGTACATCCAGCTTTCCTTCCATAAAATGGGCTCCTATGAACTTTGACTTCTGTGGTTGCTTGGGAGGATCCAGTGAGGTGATACATGATAAATGTGAAGTTCTTACAGTGTCTGGCACAGGATAAACCCTAGGTTAATCCTGGCTGTTCCTGTCATTCTTGGCTTTTTGATATCACCAGTTCTGCTTTTTTTGTGGTGTGGTTAAACTTTGGTCATTGCACATTTTGGTCCTTGTCAAGCCTTCTTCTTCTTCTCTCTCTAGACACTCTTTTTGTATCTACCTTTTCTTCATTTCTGTCCTCTCCAGCCGCAATGGCGGCTGTCCTGTTTCTCTCTCCTGGAGGTAGACAGACAGTCCCTTCCCCAATATGCTCTCTAAAAAGATCTGTACAGCTTGGCCCCTTTCTACAGACAGAGGATCTTCATTGTGTATCTCTGTAGCTCTTTGGCTGTAGGACAGGGTCATGTGCTTCATTCCTGGTATGCATTCATCCAGTGATCTTGCAAGTTCTCTGCAACCCCTTAACAAAAAGCATTAATTATTTGAAGGTTTCAAATATACACAAGTCAAGAATTATATGACCATCTCCCAGGCACCTTCACTTAGCTTCAACACCTAGTGGTGCTCTGCCATTTGGATCTTATGGATCAATCTTTTAATTGGTAGAATTCACAAAAATGGTGCTTTTATCAAGAATCTTCCCTTCCCAGTCCTTCCCCTACTAGCTTTAGGCACTGTTTGGTTCGAGTCCTAGTTCCCTTCTGGCTAGTCAGAAAGTTCTGCCAAGAGCTGCTCTGCAGGTACAGACAGAGAGAGAGCTGTGATGGGGGAGGGTGCCCCCTAGGCCATAATTCTTGGAATGGAAGGAAGCCCTTTTCTAGTTGGTTACTCATACTCTTCCTGCCTGTGAATCCTAGGGCAGATACTGGTAGAGGCACAATGTGGCATTTCTGACTGATTTAGGACAGTGGTTGATCCATAAGGCTACATCTGTGCCTACCATCAGCCACCTGGTGGAGAACTTAGGTCCTCCCTCGATCCCATTTCTGGAGGTAATGTTTGCCTTCATCTTTTTCTGGCATCCTGACTCTTTTACCCATCCAGTGTTTGTGTGGCCACTAGATGGTGCTCAAGCCACAGGCAATCTACTGTGCTTCAGGAAGGCAGTCAAATTAGGATCACTTCCTGCCCTCCCTCCCCCTGGCCCCCACCCCTCAACTATTGTTCTGGATATAAATGAAAAAAAATTTTAATGCCATCAGCTAACTAATTTTTGGATATGAAGTTAAATAGCTTGATTTATGTGACCATAAAAGAGTTAACGATTCTGATAATACTGGGGCTATTCTCAGGTTCTCTGACATTCTTTCCTACACAGGTAGGTCCCTTTTGGAGCCAGAGTTTGTCTCTAGCCCTGAAGGATGATCTCTTGCCTTGTGTCCTGCTAAACTTTCCTCACCCATCCTAAAAGCCCCCTTAGAACATGCTGTTCTCTCATACTTTCCTTTTTTTTTTTTTTTAAATTTCTTTTCTTCTCACGTGGGATCTAGCATACCTCTGTCATCTCTTAAGCCCAGCCAAAGTGAATTGTAAAAACTGGTATGTTCTCTCCCCCCTCACACGCCCACCCCAGTTCCCCTGATGGTTTGTTTTGACCAAGTGCTTTTGGTTTGTGTCTTGTTTTTGTTTCCGGGGAGGACAAGACCCAACAGTAACCACTTAAGCACTTCTGCCCATGGGTTTGCCTGGGCACAGTGAAGTATTTTTTGGACCCTGAGCACCACCAACATATTAAGGAAAGATATTTATTTAAAGGACTGTTCTCAGATACATGAGAGCCATGAAAACCACCCAGAGTCTTTGATAACTTTATACACATGACAGTCATGTTACAGAAATAGTACTTGTACCCAACAGTTTTTTTCCATGGCCAAGAAACCCAAAGTTCATCTTTCTGTCTTCGGAACGTAGCTGAGGATGATTTCCCAGCAGTTTTTGGTTTCTTCCCCTGCCTGGCTCAGGCTAGTGTCAGGCAGCCAAATGCCACGGGCTTGGGGATGTGCCCAGAGGCGGAGGGGGCTGGCAGAATGGCTGCAGGTAACACCCTCGGCTCCTCCAAGGCACATGCATGTCCCTGAGGACTGTCTGCGGGGCTCTGACTTGTGGCTCATGGGGCCAAGAGGCCTGTTCTCAATTCCTTCCAGTTTCCCTAGGTGAGGGAGCTGGGGAAATGGGGAGCATTCATCTGTGACTTGGGACGTCCACACTCCTGGATCTCTGGGCTCAGGGAAAGCACACTAAAACATTTGTGTTTTGGCAGAAGGACGATGAGGACTAAATAGAGGCTTTGTCTTGGGTGGCCCTCTGGTTGCCCTGCCCTTGACTTTATGAGCTGTCAGCAGACACAGGGAAGAGAACTTGGGGAGGGGGGCGGTGAGATGAAGTTCCCGGAGACCTATGACCTTCCCTCAAGTTAGGAATCTCTGGCTGACGTTGTCAGGAGGACCATTACCCACTCCCAGTGCCTAGAATTGTGCCTGGCAAGGCTTGTTGAATGAATAAATGAATGCAAAGGAGCGCACAGTTCACTCTGGTCACCCGAGGCCTGTGTGTTGATCGGATGGCTGGCAGGACTGGGGGGCCATGTGTGTCTGCCTGGGAACCAGTATGCAGCCAGGATTTAAAGTCAGGTTATGGGTGAGAAGCCAAGTTTGCCTTTCAAGAAGCACATGGGGGTTGGAATGATAACTTTAGCTTCTTTAGCCTGAGATAACAGGTCAGGCCTCTTGGTAATCATTTGGAAGGACCTGAAGTGGAAACTTTCTTTTTGGTGGTCCCTGGCCACTGCCTTCCTTGGGATCACAGCTGTTCCCATATAGGTCATATTGTTGAGAAAGCACATTCCCCGATAGCCAGGGGCCTGACTCACCCTTTGGTGAAAGTTGATTTTTGTGGATGTGAAAATGGCCACCAGGAGCATTTGTAGTGGATTCTTCTCTGCTTGTTCTTCCTTCATGACATTTTCCTGACCTTTGGCTTCTAACTAGAATTATGGAGCCATGGAAAAACAGCAATGAGATTTTTTTTTTGAGGTAATAGGCAAAGGTGAATAATAGATAAAAAGAATCAGCAAATGCACTAATGCCATTCCCAGGTGCATCCATAACCTCAGACATGATTACACTTTGCTAGTTAAAAAATATAAAGTGTAGAAAGAGGCACACATCACAGAGACAGAGGAAGGAGATGGAAGGTGCTTCCTTTTCTGGGTCATCTACCAGTTCAGAAGTGAATGATAGATACCAAGAGTCCAGAGTGGCCAGAACATATTTTCCCGGCTTCTATTTTTAGATATCTGTCACCAGCATTTAAGAACAGACTCAGATGTCAGAGCCTTCATCTAATGGGCAGTATCTGTCACCATACTTTACTGGAAGCAGCAGGTGTTAGAAGCCAAGTCCAGATGCCTATTGTTGTGAAAACGCAACATGTTGTTTTCTGTGGTACTAATAGAATTGACCACTAGGTGGAGATGTTGTGCCTTGAAATGCCCTTGCTTAGCTCTGTCCTGTTGGGTTTGGAACACTGAGTGTTCAGCTGCCTTACTCTTGCTCTTTTGTGTTTTGCTCACCCTTTCCTTATGTCTGTATTTTATTTTCCTCACTGATCTAGCTATAATAGAGAAAAGCACATTTTCTTTTCTGTGTTATTTCTTGAATATAATGAATCAAGGAAGTTCCAAGTGATTGTGGTACTGGGGACTGTGTCTGGCTGGACAGGGGTGGTGCCTTAGCTTGTGGTACGTTCAGCGTTGGGCTAGGGGTGGGGCCTGGGGCCATGTATGCTTCCCACTTAGGAGCTGTGTTTCTGCTCATCTGCCAGCTCCTGGTCACATAACCATTCCTCCTTCCAACCATGTCCATCCTAACACCTTTTCCATTTCTTTATGCTTCAGAGGAGCCTGAAGGTGTGGCCAAGCCTCCACAAGGCACAGACCGTACGTTACTGTCACCTAGGGGTCCAAGGGGATGGGTTTGGAGGCTCTTACTGGAGGGGTATGAATGCTGGAGATGGGGTTTCCTGATTTGCATGAAGCATGGTTGAGATTCACCCCAGCCTCTGAGTTTACCATATCAGTTTCCTTTCTGCCACTGGTTGAACACTAAAGTCATTTGGAATGTCTTGAGGACAGTTTCCTCTCCCAGACCCCTCCCCAAACTTGGGGTGAAGCTAGAAGGAGGAGTTTGGCAGGTATAGAAGCCATGGACAACCTGGGGAAGTATAAGGTATTTGGGGACCAGGAGGAAGTTGGAGGGAGTGAAAAACTCTTGAAGTGGAAATTCAAAAGGTAAATCATAATCAAGATATTTAACACGGATGATGAGTAATGTTCACGTGAGATCCATTATTCCAAGGCCGCCGCCTTCTGTTCCCAAAGCCAGAGCTTTGCTGGTGTGGGGTCTGAAAGAAGGAACATGTAGAAGGGTTCAGGGCACTCCTGACTGGTGGGCCGGCATGGCCAGCCTGTCCCTGTCCCCCTTCACTCCATGGGCTCCCCAGGAGCAGCTCATAGCACGCACCTTGGGTCCAGCCCTAGCACCCCTCTGCTGCAGAGATTGGTCTTGTGCTTGTTTGGCCCATCCTGTGTGGATAGGGTCATCCCAGATGATTTCAGTCCTGCCTGCTGTCTCTGGCATTCTGGAAATGTTCTCTTTCCCCTGCCCTCCAAAAGGGATACCTGACTTTGTAGAGTTTTCAGAGTATGGCTAGTGAAGGGCCATCCTAGGAAATGATCCACGAGCCCCCAAGTGACAAATGAACAAAACAGAGCCTCTCCAAGGGATGGGAATGATGCAGAGGAAAGATTTTCCTGCCTCATTCATTCTCAAACTCTCCTCCAAAGTGTTCCATTAAAAATATCATTTTTTTTTTGGTATTGTGTGTCCTGAAATGAGTCAGGGCCATCACGGCACAGGGATATACAAGTCACTGGAGTTTGGCTGTGGGGGGAGGGACGTCCCCTGAAAGGTAGCTTTTCTGGTCCTGAGGCTTTGGGTCTTCCTTTATGACACCCTATGCCTGGATGTGATATGTGTGCAGACTGGAGGGGGGTGGGTCCAGAAGGCACGGGGGTGGGAGCGCCTGAGCTCCAGCGTGTGTGCATGCCAGCCTGAGCTCCAGCGTGTGTGCATGCCAGCCTGAGCTCCAGCGTGTGTGCATGCCAGCCGAGAGCATGCGTGTTGAGGGGGCACCATTCCGGATCTGGCCACCTCATCAGCATGTGTTGGTTTGTATCTCTGGACCTCTATTCCCTCCTCTGTAAAATGAGACTAATAGTGACAAGGACTAGATGGATTTACTGGACATCATGACAGATCTCATCAGTGTCATTGTTGTTTACAAAGATTATATCTGACGCATGTGGGGGAAACTGAGGTGCTGGGGTGGACTCAGGTCTGAAGGTGGCTGGTTGAGTTCTAGAAAGCCCCACCGGGGGGCTTCTCTGACTTCTGCTGTGTCTTCAGTGGACGACAATCTGGGCTTCCTTCCCACCTTTGGCCCCTGCTATGTGAACCTGTATGGCAGTCCGCGGGAATTCACGGGCTTCCCAGACCCCTACGCAGAGCTCAACATGGGCAAGGTAAGCCGCCACATGCCAAGCGATCCTCTGGGGGGTCTCCCACCTGGCTTGGTGGCATTCAGGCCTACCTGAGACTTCAGGGGCCTGGGCAGGCTGGACCCATCAGAGTATCCTAATTCTAATTCTCCCTGGCCTCCTCCTGCTCCCCCCTCTTCTCTGTTCCCTCTGCCTCCCCCTTAGGGACACTGAGACCTCAGTCCCTAAGACACCCAGGCCGGTGTCTCTCAGGTTTCATCACCTGGGGCTAGGCTGGAGGTGGCACTGGTTCCCTCACTGGGTGGCTTGGCATGTCCCCGGAACGCTCTGGGCCATGACATCCTCATCGGAAGAATGGTGGGTTGGCTCAGCTTCTTGGCTGCCTGGGAGATGAACTGCCTTAGAGCCAAACCATGCTCCTTTCTTTCCCCTCATCTGCTCCGGCTGGTGACCTGATGTCCTCGTGCAGGGAGAAGGCGTGGCCTACCGAGGCCGGCTTCTGCTGTCCCTGGAGACCAAGCTGGTGGAGCACAGTGAGCAGAAGGTGGAGGACCTTCCTGCAGATGACATCCTCCGGGTAGAGGTAAGCAGCACTGCCCTGGGAGGGAGGTGGAGTCCTCTTAGGGATTAGAGAGAGAGAGGTGGCCAAGCAAGCATCATGGGGTAGAAGGGACACAGTTCTGTTCCGCACTTACTGTGACTTCACTTCTTTGAGTAGTTGACATTTCAGCTGAGAAGTGGGAAGAATGTAACATATATCCCACTTGGAATGCTCAGAGGAATAAAGCAGATAAATAGAAGTGTTTTGAAAGTCTTGAGTTCAATGCAACATGAGACGCTATTTTCTAACAGTCACATAAGAATGAAGTTCTATTAGGTCAACTAAACACTTATCAGGTGTTTGGCACTGCTAGTGATGTCCCTGGTATTACTGAATCTTCACAGTACCCCATAGTACTGCTGCTATGGTTACTATCTCCATCTTATAGATGGAGAAGCGGAAGCCCAGATATATCAGAGCAATGAATGGTAGAGCGAGGCCTGGTCTCTAGGAGCATTCAGACCCTGTAGTCATAGAGCTGTGGCTTGGATCCTGGCTCCACCACTTACCAGTTATTTCCCTGCCTGTAAAGTGGGTGTAATAATTATACTTACCTCATAAGATTGTGGTGAGAAGTGAATTAAGATATGTATGCAGTAAGTACTCATTAAGTGTTAGCTGTCATTACTATTTACATTCTCCTAAACCCCAATTGCTTAATCCTGCTTCTCTGTGCCTCCCAATGGAAGGAATCATAAAATCACATTGGTTCAAATCAGGACATATGAAAAAGTGCCAAACGTGCCTTTAGTCCTGTGCCCTATGCCCAGAGGGAGCAAAGAACTTCACACATCCCAAGTATATGGGAGAGGTGGCCAGTGCATACTGCAGTAGTGTCTGGTGTGAGGGGACCTCTACGGGGCTGGTGGGAGTTCTGGGTGAAGCCTGGTGATTCGGAATCCCAGATGAGACCAGGCTGCCCTGAGGGGCACTGAGGGAGACCTTGCCTCGCTGATGTGGTGGTGCCATTGCTGCTGGTTTGGATTAAGGAGTCACATGACCTTGGAGATGCAGATCTTATTAGGAAATGTGGCCAAATACACAGAGACCTGGAAAGAGTGTTGAGTTCATAATCAAATCTGGAGATTGTTTCTTTTCTGGACTATTTGCCACTGGGCAGCTGAGCCAGGGGTTACTGGTACAGGCCATGGTAAAGGCTAACAATGCCCACCTGTCTCGTTGGCTTCTCCTCATGCCCTCTGGCCTGCCCTCTCTGCCCACAGAAGTACCTCCGGAGGCGCAAATACTCCCTCTTCGCCGCCTTCTACTCGGCCTCTATGCTGCAGGACGTGGATGATGCTATTCAGTTTGAGGTCAGCATTGGGAACTATGGCAATAAGTTCGATACAACCTGTCTGCCGCTGGCCTCCACCACCCAGTACAGCCGGGCAGTCTTTGATGGTAAGCTCCCCAGTCATAGAGCAGGGGCTGAGCCCTGAAGCCTCCCTACCATGGGAAAATGCTGGGGCCCTGCTCCATATACCTGGCCTAGAAAAACCCTTCTGAGATCCCCTGCTGTGCTCCCAAAGCCACCTCCACCCCCCTGCAGTGCTCTAGGTGGAGCCTACCTCCCCCCTACCCCCAATGCCAGTTCCCATAGGTTGGGGTCTTGAAAGTATGGTGATCCATAGTCATCTTGATTCGCCTGGGTCATTACATGGTGGCTTAGAGTCATTGGGGACTATGGTCTTGATTTATGGGTCATTCTATTACCCTCTCTCTTTCTATGCACTGAAGTGTCCCAGTGTTCCCCATTCTGTGTGGACACTGAACGGTACAGATGACACCACATCTGCCCAGAGGTTCTAAGGTGGGAAAGAGAAGAAGGCACTAGTCTGCCTCCACCCTCAGCCCCTTCCCATCTTGGCTAGCTCCGTGTCTAAGTGACCAGGGGCCTGGGCTCTGTAGTACTTTGCCTGCCAACCCTCAGCTCCTACCCAGTAACCAGGCCCTTCTCCCCTCACCCCATACCCTCTTCCCTTGCTGGGGATCAGGTTCTCTTCCCTTGCCCAGTAACCAGGTCCCTCTCTCCACACAGGATGCCACTATTACTACTTACCCTGGGGCAATGTGAAGCCAGTCGTGGTGCTGTCCTCCTACTGGGAGGACATCAGCCATAGGATTGAGACTCAAAACCAGCTGCTCAGGATTGCTGACCGGTTGGTGAGTGGAAAGAGACCCCCAACCTCTGCTTTTCTGTGGGTGTTTGCAGACCTGCTGCCCACATGCACACTTGATAGGTAGCTTTGTCCAGTGGCTTTTATGGGCTGGTGTCCTCTGTGTTCTGTGTCCTATTTACTGGCCAGAAGAGGGGTGAGGAGAGCACTGGGGAGCCCCTAACAGATGCAGTGAGAGAGAGATAGATAGAGAGAGACAGAGACAGAGGGATAGAGACAGAGAGAGACAGAGATGAGACAGAGGCAGAGAGACACTCACCTGGAACTTCAGGACAGTGCCTGAGATGAATAGTAGATTTCTTTTTACTCTTAACTGCATACAAGAGATTTCCATCTAGAAGTCAGCTGGAAGTAAGCACTGAATAAGTCCACAGAAGGCTTTCCTGCCCTGTTTACCCAGAGCTCTCCAGGTGAGACTTGAGGTGTCAAGGGAGAGAGGTGGGGTGTGGAGGAAGGAGAGTAGCAAAGAGCATCAGGAAAGTAGCATGGGAACAGCAAGGGATCCATGTCCAGTGGGGGAACACAGGTGGTGGGGGCTTAGCCAGGCCCCCATCGCAAGGGCCCAGGAGGGTGGCATGGCCTGAGGAGGAGATGACCTTTGAGGGGAACTGCAAGACTTCAGCTTTTAGGTCTTGGTGGCCCATTGGATCTAGGAAAAGGAAGGTCTGTGACTCTGGTGGCTGAAATGACTCTGGGGAGCTGGGGAGAAAAGCAGAGGGTGCAAGGGTGGGTGGTGAGTTGTGTTTGAGAGGTGAGGAGAGGCTTCTAGAGATTCATCTCCATGTACAGGTCTGATGCTCGGCCAGTGAGCACAAGAGAGTCACAAGAATGTGTGTAAAGGTCAAGGGAGGTGGGAAGCTGATGGTCCAGGTGGTGGCTTCTAGGCACTTCTATGAAGTGTGTGTGTGTGTGTGTGTGTGTGTGTGTGTGTGTGTGTGTGTGTGTGTGTGTGTGTGCTCCCCTTCCTGAATTGAATGGCATGTGGGAAAGTGGGTAGCTATTCTGATAAAGCCAGAAAAAGGCAACAGGTTGAGGAAAGGGAGATGAATGGCCTGGAGAAGTCTGTGGATAAGCATGGTTCAAAAGACAGATGGAAAAGGAAGGGAAAAGCAGGAGTCGGAGTGGCTGGAAGGAATTCAGGCCCAGGTGGGGCCTTTGTAGTCCTTGGCTGTCTCTAGACCCTGGAGCTCTGCAGCAGGGAGAAGACCAGCAAACACTCAGGGCCTGAGAACTGGAGTCAGAGCTGGGCAAGTGTGGTCTGTCTTCTGGGCCACTTGTTATTTTACAAGATTACGGACTCCAAGGGAGCAGGGTCCATGTTTCCTTGGTAAGGTCTTTTTCTAGACTAGAAGTCCCTCTGTGGTATATGTATCACATGCTCAGAAAAGCTGATGGACAGGAAGAAGGGTCCTGGGGGACTGAGGGACAGGGCTGAGGTCCAAGGAGGGGGCTGGGTAGGGGTTCAGTAAAGGAGGCTAGATGCAGCTGAGTGAGAGAGCAGTCATTGGGATGAGGAAGTCTGAGTGGCTGTGGTGGTGGTGTAGGTAGATTTGGCCTGAGCCTAGATGTGTGGTAGAACCTGGAAAGGAGAGGGGGTCCCATGAGGAGCAACAACAGGCTCAGGAAGGGCCACTCAGCTGTGTTCACCTGTGGGGAGTCAGTTCTGGCTTGAAGATGGTAGGTGACAGGATGCCTTCAGCTTCTGGTAGAGCTGGCACATAGCTTATGAATTCCTTATGCTCAGATATGACGCTTAAGTGCCAGGCTTGAGAATTTGGGTGTGGGGAGCCCTGGAAGGTTCTTGAACCAGGTCAGTGCTGGTTGGCTGGCTCTGGACTATGTCTCTAGCTGCTCATTTTTTTTTTTTTAATGGATTGGGCTGTGGGAACAGGTGTGTGTGTGTGTGTGTGTGTGTGTGTGTGTGTGTGTGTGTGTGTGTTGGTTACAGCCAGGGTTTAACCTTCTGCATCCTGGTGGCACTCCTGACCTTGGCCTGCCCATTCCACAGGAAGCTGGCTTGGAGCAGGTCCACCTGGCCTTGAAGGCACAGGGTTCCACGGAGGACACAGACTCTCTAGTGGCTCAGCTGATGGATGAGCTCATTGCAGACTGCAGGTAGGGGGTACCTGGCGCCCATGGGGCGGCTTCCCTGCGAGTGTTCGTGTGTGGCAGTGAGCGGCAGCACGTCTCCCAGCCACGCTTGGCCAGCAGTCCAGCCCGGGCTGAGTCCAAAGGTGGTGGAGCCAGCGCAGGGAGTTGAAAAGGTGACATTTAGAGCAGGTCATAAATCTCCCTGCAGCAGCGGCAGCTGCGGGCCTGCGCAGCCCCGCTCACCTGAATGGGGAGCATTGTGTCTCTGATCCCCAACGTCTTATTTCCCTGATGGAATCTCCAGGAGAAGCTGACTGGAGGTGGGGGTAGGTAGCGCCCCTCCTTCCCCAAAGTCATGTCAGGAACCATGCTTTCTGCTTAGTCTTCGATTGACGTGGCTGATGGTCAATTTCAGGAAAAGGGGGTCCTCGGGGTGATGGAAAATGGGGGTGCAGAGGCTCAGCAGGGGGGCTCATCTCAGCATCTCTTCCAGCGCTGAGTGGGTCTGGAGAGGCACTTCCAGAGGGAGCTTCGAACTTCCTCTTGGCATGAGGAGTAACTACTTTAGAATATGTAATGAAGTGCTGGGACCTTAGGAAGGGTTTAATCAATGGGAACTGTAATGATTGTTAAGATGAAATGCCAAGTCTTAGGTACTAGCCCTGTTCACCAGCTTTGTGGGTTTACATAGCTTCCCTTCCATGGACCTCGGTTCCTCCACTGTTACTGGACTTAATAAGAATTCTGCTTTCTAGGGGATTAAGTGTGAATATATGTAAATGCATTCTCTGCCTTCTTCTGCCTCTCATCACTCCTTCTGTCAGTCTGGCTAGAGAGCCCCATTGAACAGAGCAGAGAAAGAAATGCCTTCCTGCTGAGAAATGAGTAACCATGCTGCCAGACACAGCCCCCTTCCAGCCCTTCATGCTGCAGTTAGTTCGGAAGTGCATTGTGATCAAATGTTCCCCAAGGACCTGTCTCCTTCACTCTCTATCCCCAGTGGTGGGGCTGTAGACAGGCCATTCCCAAAGCACTGCCAGGCTTACTGACGAGGGAACAACTTCAGCCCTCTAGAGGGTGATGGGTGCACAAATCCAGCACACAAAGCAAAGTATGCTCGGAATTAGAGGCAGATGTGAGTTCACAGGTATAATACATGAGTTCAGGTGTAATACTCCCAACAAATGGAATCCAGGGAAGTTTCTTGGGCAGAGGAGGAGGGAAGGATGGCTGATGGGAACTTAGAGGAGAAGAGGGTTGGCCTTCAAAGAGGGCATTGCCCAGGCAAAAGGAGAGGGAAGCTGATGCCCAGGGAACAAGCCTTGGGGGCTATGCCAAGCAGAGCTTAGGCTGGGGGGCTATGGAGGGGCAATGTAACCCTGAGTTGGATGCTGAATTGGTGATGTGAGGCAGGTACTAGGAGGCCTGGCAAATAGACTCAACATTGGTTGTGCAAGTGACTTGGGACAAAGGCAGCTAAGTCAACGGTGCAGAGACCATCATAGACACTTCAGGATGCATTATGCCAACAACATATTGTACCAGGCACTGTCCTAAGAACTTTATGTGTATTAACTCATCATGAAGCTATTTAATTATGAGGTAGATGTAGACTCGTCCTCGTTTTACAAATGAGAAAACAGGCACAGAGAGGTCGATCAACATGCCCAGAGTCACATATCAAGTAGGTAGCAGAACTTCCTTGGTCTAATGCTCTACCATGGGAAAACTTGATGATGGGTTGGAACTAGGAGCCAAAGAAAGGCCTAGAATGGCCTCCTCGTTCTGGCCAGGCTAGCGGAGGAGTAGTTAGGGCCAGTCTCTGAGAGGTCTGTAGGAGAGGAAGTGGGCTGGGAGAGATCAGGAGTCATACTTGAGAGCAGGGTATCTGTGAGAAAGCTGACCCTGTGGTCTGGAGGTTGCAAGACAGGTGGGGCTAGAAGCACGCACAGGGGCGCAGTCAGTATTGGGAGCTGTAGCTGTGAGGTGCATTCTCAGATCGCCCCTGTATGCTAGGCCACGCCTGCAGAGTGACTGGCTGTTGCCCATCTGGCACAGGCTCTCGGGCAGTGGGTGAGCAGAGTACAGGTTTTCCCCATACCACAGCTTGTGACTCATGTGTGGGTTGGACCTTGGCAGGTGTGTGTACCTGGAACATTGCAGATAGGTGGGATCTGGCCCTGGGATGTCCTCAGTGCTCTCCTCAGTGCTCTGCTCTGAGCAACTGGGTAAAATCACTTCTGTCAAACTTGGTCCTTTGAGTCACTATCCTGGGAGAAGAAGGTTGCCCCAGCCTCCCAGGGGCTTTGGTCCCAGCCTGGGGGGAAGCTGGGTTCTCTTGAGGGAATACTTAGATGAGACTCCAAGAGAGGAATTCCAAGCATCAGAACTGATTCCTTCAGGTACCACCTGAGGCCTCGAGCAGCCTGGGGCCCCAGCAAGAGGAAGGGAGTCCCTCACCCCAACTGTGGCCCTGAGAGTCTTCACAATGGATGATACCAAGGCTGTCCATGGCTGCTTACCTGTTCTTCCTGCCAGCTCTGCTATAGCCCTGACATCAGTGTCTTCCCTTGTTCAAGCCCAAGCCTTTTTTTCTAGCTCATCTTCCCCATGGCCAATGACATCCACTCTGCTCTTCCAACCCAGCTGTCAACTCTGATTTCTAGGTCCTGTTGGACTGCTCCATGTGCTGCCTTGTCAGCGCATATGGGCTCTTCCCTGGGCTGCGTGAACCCTGGGCAGGTTTCATCTCCTTTCTTTGCGTCTCGGCCTATAGCTAGCAACCCCAGAGCCCACAATGGAAAGAGGTACGGTGCTGCCTCTCCCTTTCTCAGACTTGTTGGGTGTCTGTCTCTCCTATGTCCTTCCTTCATCCTCCTTCCTCTCCAGCCCCCTCCCTTTAATATCCACACTGTCTCCCTAACCTGGGGCCTCCACTTCAGTCCTGGACTGCTCCCACTGCGAGTCTCAGCTCACTTCCTGTAGACCAGGCTTCTCTTCCCTACTACCTGCCTCACATACCCCATTCCTTTCTAGATGGTTGTACTGACTGGCTCTCCTCACCCCACCCCACTTCATTCCACACATGCGCCCCTTGCCTCTGTGCATTTGCCTCTATGCACACACCGGTCTGTCCTGAGCCTGACTAACTTCTGCCAGCTCTATAGGCACAGCTTGGGGCTACTTCTTCCAGGAAGGACTCCTGACTCTCAGGCTGCCCAGTGGGATCATGGACAGCTGCTTCTGTTTCTCTCCTGGAGATAAGCGGAGCTGGGTCTTATCTCTGGACCCAGCCCCCAGCTCAGCACAGGCCCAGCACAGCTGCTGCTAACAAGGACTGCAATGAACCACCTGAAACCAGTTCATCTGTCAGGCCAGAGGCTCTCCCTGCCTGGTGGCTGCCCCCCAGTAGTCACCTGCTTGGTGCCACAGGGCCAGGCAGCAACTTGGTGAGAAGCCAGGCCTTGGCTCTTGGCCTACATGGCCCACCAGGTTTCCAAGTCAGCTAAGGATATACAGGACGGGCTGGGAGCTCAGCATCACCTAGTCTCCCCATGTTTCTGAGCCCATGTCTTGGGCTCTCCTGGTGTGTGCGTGGGGGAGGGGTGGGGGAAGGCTGAGAAATATTGCCAGAGGCACTCACAGGTCCTGGCTGTATTTTGGGAAGTCTTGGCTTTAGCTTGTGTCTCCATGAAAATCTCCTTTTGGTGGTCTACATCCTGGTCCCTCCCAGCTTCCCAACCAGGCTGGGGTGCATAAATCACCCCAGTTGGCCCAGCTCTCGATTCTCCCCCGCCCTCTCCACCCCTTCCCACCCGGCCCTCAGGCTCCAGTCCGCCCAGACCCCCCTCACCCACCACAGCCTCAGCTTCGCAAGCCCCGCAGGCTGCCTGCTGCCGGCCTGGGGCGGCTGTCCGCGGCACCCTCGGGGCAGTAAATATTATATTACTACAGGGTGTGCAGTACGTGACCTGAGACAGGCCCCGGGGCTTAAGTTTCCCCGAGATGGAGTTCACGTACTGCTCCCCCCACCCTAAAAATTCAATTAAAAAAAATAACAGGAAAAATGTAGTGCGCCGAGGGCCTGCCAGAGTGGAGTATCTGGCGGCGGCGGTGCCGCTGCGCTCCGGCGGTAATTGGTTCTGCATAGCTCGGGGAAATTGGCAGAAAAATAAATCAGCCGGGAGCCGGGAGTCGAGACGCTGCAGGGAGGGGAGTTGGGGGGGGTGAGAAGCAGGGGGGTGCAAGTAGTGAGAGCAGACCTGACTGAGTGGGTTTGACTAATGTCCTGTTGGCGAGTGGAGGGCTCTGCTAGCCTGGGGGGCGGGGTGGCCCCCAGCAGCTCAATCAGAGACAGTTAGGAGGGGGTCCTGGGGGGAGCAGCAAGATACCTCATCCTGCAGGACCTTTGCTTGTGGAGGACCCCGGACCTGGAATGGTGAAGGACAGCCATTTGAAGAAAAGGCTTTTAGGGAGCTCCTGAAGGATGGATGGGAGTTCTTACTTCCAAACGAACCCCTCATCTGGGGCTCACAGTTGTGATTTGAGGTCTGCATGTAGCCCCTACCTCCTCTTCAAGGCCCTCCAAAGCAATGGATTCTGGGAGGGGTGCTGTGGGGCTGCCTGGGTACATGCATCTGTCTTACTGGCTGCTGACCTCCCCATTGAGGGGGCTGCAGCGGCTCATCAGGGTCTGTAAAGTTCCTTCTCAGAGAAAGTGCGCACATAGCACAGACTGAATTTGTTTCAGTGTTGGACAACTGAACCCAGGGCCTCTGCTCCAAGATGGTACAGGATACAGGAAGAGAGGGAGCTGCTGGGCCTTCTTTTGAGAGCTCACAGTCAGTTGCAGGGGAGAGAGGGACACTTTTGCAGAAGAATTCATCAGGTTGGAGGTTTAGGATGAGTTTCCAAAGGGGGCCCCAGACTAAAAGGGCCTTCAGAGTGGGAAGCATGTATGAGGGCCCTGTGGTCAGGGAAGGCTGCCTAGAGGTGATGGGATGGATGGAGCTTATCACATGGAGAACACTGGGCATGGGGATCAGGCTAGCAAAGGCACCCAGCAGGTAGGCTGAGGGTGTGGGGCCCATGCCCAGGCATGCTGTGCTGTGTGTGCACATGCATATGTGTGTGCCTGCACCTGTGGGTGTATGGAGGGCCCTGCTCATCAGGCACACTGCAATTGTCTTTCATAGCCAGCCCTTGGGTGATGTCCATGCGATACCTTCTGCTACTCACCTGGACCAGTACCTGTTCCGGCTACGTACCCGTCACCTGAGCCAGATCACGGAGGCTGCCCTGGCCTTGAAGCTCAGCCACAGTGAGCTCCCTGTGATCCTAGAACAGGCTGAGGACTGGCTCCTGAGGCTCCGTGCTCTGGCAGAAGAGGTAATAACTTGATGGTGCCTGCCTTCCTTTCCCTCCTGTTGCCTGGAAAATCAGAACTAGAAGGCATGTGGGTATTGTCTGGACCATGACTCTACCCAGGGCCTATTGATGGATGAGCCTTATATCCTCATTTGCAGAAGGAAGAAAGAGGATTGAGGGAATAATGGGGCCTAACACAGAACCTGGCATATAGGAGGTGCTCAATAAATGTACCTAGCCCATCAAGGAATGTTATAGCCAGTGCTGGAACCAGAATCCAGGGCACCTAGCTCCAGGTCCCATGCTGGGAACAGCTTCCTCTGGGCACTTCATTCCTGCACAGTAAAGGCCTGGCTACAAGCCTGCTTCTTCCAAGCTTGTGTTTTCTGATCTTCCGGATGCCTTTGGGTCACAGGCTACAAGTTGGTTCAGAATAAGGAGAAAGGTCTATTCACAGAGGCAGCTTCTGCCCACTCTCACCAGAGCCACCTGGGACCCTCAGGAAGCAGCTGCAGGCAGGAAGGAAGGCTGTCCCCAGGAGGATGCAGAGCAGGTTGCAGATAGAGGTGTGGGGGGGGGGGTACTCAAGAAGGGTGATGGGCCATGTATACTCTCTGTATAGGGCTACAGGTATATGGCCATTTGCTCATGTGTCTCAGCTGCACACGAACCCCTCACAGTTACAGGAGACATCCTCAAATTTGTCTCTGGCTACCTCTATAATTTTGCCCTAGACTGATTTCTTTGATCCCTTAGCCCAGGTACTACGGCTGGTAGGAGATAGGGCCAAACAGGGTGATGACTGTAATGGGACTGAAAGAGTACCACTCACACATGTGTATGCATCATACTGTTCAGTGTTCTTAACCCCCAGGCCTGGGCTCTCAGGAGCTGCTGCTGCTTTGGGGTCCTCAGTTGAGGGTCAGGAAAAATTAAGTTGGTTCCTTTTCTCTCTAAGCCTAAACTTTCTTTCTTGTCAAGTGGGTACTGCCATGCATCAGTGAATGATCTGGAAGTGTGGGTCCAACAACAGGGTTGGGTGGAGGATATGTTCCCAAACAGCTTTTCTCCAGTGTGTGCAGTAGAAGCAGCTGCCACTCGCTGCTATATCCCCGAGGGCTCAGAGGCCTTGGAGTTGTGTCCTGGGCTTGTCTACATTTTTCAGAGTCCCTGGACCCTAAGGCACTGCTCTTACCAGGAGGAAAACTTAAGGTCCTTTGGGAAGGCCTCTGGAAAGGACCTTAGGGGCTGGCATCTTAAGTGGAATGTTTGCCCCTAGTAACATTTACTGAGTAGAGGGGACTTATGAACCAAACCCTTGTGCTCAGGCATGCAGTCTTTGCTCACTCAGTAAGTTTTGGCAGGCTCTCTCTCTCTCTCTCTCTCTCTCTCTCTCTCTCTCTCTCTCTCTCTCTCTCTCTCTCATCTTCTCCTTTGGGGGCTCAGACACCCATGCAGCCAAGGGGAGGGACAGGAGTAGGCAAGTAGGCAGTGTGTGAGTATGTGGATGGAAGTCTCAGAAGGTGAGATCTTGCAGCTTCTGAGTCAGAGTCAGCTCATAGTATCACTATGAGGTGTGGGCATGGACATGTCACTGTTGCCCCCTGACTGCCATCCTCTCTAGCCCCAGAACAGCCTGCCGGACATCATCATATGGATGCTGCAGGGAGACAAGCGTGTGGCCTACCAACGGATACCTGCTCATGAAATCATCTTCTCCCGGCGTGGTGCCAACTATTGTGGCAGGAATTGTGGGAAGCTGCAGACAATCTTTCTAAAAGTGAGTTATGATCATATTTTCTCATGCAAGGCCTATCTTCTATTTCTTCCAGTTCTGGACCTGTTGTAGAAATCCTGGGTTCTGGTCTCAGAAGGGGACGGGGGTCTTTGGATAGAGGAAAAGTAGTTATTCTATCCATGCAGTCTCCAGCCAGACTCCACGCACACAGTTCCCAAGGTTAGCAGGTTGGAGTTGGAATCACGGTGCTAGAAATAAATGTGTGGCCCCAGGTCATCTGAAGGAGCAGGGTAGGGTGGTATCTGAGACCCATCCATCAGGGTGGGTCCCTTGTAGGGAGGACTAGCCCCCAGCCGTTAACAGTCCTGACATAGATTAGTCCCTGTCCCAGCGCACTGATCCCCAACTGGAGCCATGATTAAGCTTTCTGTTGGGAAGACTGGGGTCTGGGGTCAGGGCTACTTGTGCCTGTGACTTGGACCCATCCTCAGAGGGCTAAGAGCAAGTACTCCTGTCCCTGGTCCTACCCAGCGTCCACCTCTTCTCCCCACTCTCCTCCTCCCATACCTTCCCTGCTCCCTCCCTGACTTCTCCACTGGGGTTGAGGAGACTTGGAGTGAGGCTATGTAAGAGTGGTTGGAGGAAGGAATCCTCCTTCTCTCTGGGTTAATATGGGGACATGAAGCCAGGGCTTCTTTGGTCAGGGCTGTGACCAAAGTGTTGGGAACATAGTGTGAAGATGACACAGCTACTTAGGCTGATGGGAAGCTCCCTTCCTGAAAGCTGTTCCATCCCAGCCTGTTCCGTCTGCTCTAATCTTCTCCTTCGCTGCATCTCCACTCCCATCTCATCTCTTCCAGGAAGTCATTCCTGGCCAAACTTAGTCTCCAGCCATCTATACAGAGCCTTTTGTTGACTGCTGGTCGACCCATTCCTACCCTGGCCAGCCCATTTTGTTGCCTCCTGGGATGGGGTGGAGAGGGCAGGTTTCAGCAGCACAGCCTGCGTGGAGAGGTTTCCAGGGCTGGCTGGAACTCTGTGGCCTTGGACAGGTTGCCTAACCTTTTTGAACTACCTGCTCTCTTCTTACCTGTAAAATGGGGGTGGAGCTTCCTACTTCATAGGTTTTGAGAACTGAATTAGATAACACAGGTAAGGGTCTTGAACTAAGTGCTCAAGTATATTATTTTCCAATTTCTCTTATCTTTCTTTTGGGACCTCCTTGCCCTCCAAGTGCTATCATTGGGGGCTAACTGAAGGCCAGGAATGAACTGAGGATATATTTGCATGCAGGAACTCACCTCCCGTTCCTCTCCACCCCCAGCATCTGTGTATGTTGGCCAGCAGACTTCTTTATCTCACCTGCTCACCTGCTATCCAGGGGACGTCCCCTGTGGGACTCTAACCTTAAATCCTGACCACAAATCTCCCTCCAAAGTGTAACCTCTTCCCATAAGGATGGAAAGAGACGTCAAAGAGAGGCCGCCTCTCATGGGCTGGTCAGGGAGGTGGGAGCAGACAGGAGTGAGGATGCCTTGCATTGCAACTATTGCTCGCTGCCTCTCACCTCTTGACCTTGCAGCCTTAGGGAAATGCAAACTGAAATATTCCCCTGATTCCAAAGCAAAAAAAGATATAGAATTGTTTCTCGAAGTCTTCCCCACTGAGTTTATGAGCCCCGCCAGGAGCTCCTGAGCAAGCTCTACAAAAATGTTGGCAGCAAGTAGAGACCAAGAAAACATTGGTGTTTCTTAACTTAAACCAAAGTTGGAAAAAATGAGCACCAGCAGAAAAGGAGAGAAGCCCCAAACTAGACATTTCTTTATTTGCTGTTGCTATTTTGGGTCAGGCAGGCTGGCCCCGTCTGGGGGAGGGCAGGGAGAGATTGGGGTGGATGAGGAAGAGGGGGGTGGGGTTAGGCATTCCTGCCATGTCTGGGGCTGGTGGCTTGGGGGTGGGGGGAGAAGGCAGCTAACCATCTCATGGAGAGGACAGCTGAAGTGAACTTCCATGGGGGGCACTTTCAAGGAGTGTCACATGGGATGGGGGAGGTGTTCCTTAAGGAACACCCAGGAGGAACCAAAAGAAGACCTGGGAAATGACTGGCACCTCCTCCTAAACCTTTCCTGTCTCCCTCCAGGAGTCCACTCCTTCCTCATCAGCTTTGGGCCTCTTACTATGACACCTCACTTCCTTTTCTGAACCCACTCAAATTTGCTTCTCCTTACCCTCAGCTCCCTGTCCCCTCCTGGGGAGCTTCTGCACACCAGATCTGGGCAATTTAGGTGTTACTGCCTCTGGGGGCCAGTGTGTTATTCTAAGAGTGAGAAACTTCACTTCTTTAGGCCACATCTGATCTTTGTTTTCAGTCAAATGGATGGATTTAATTGTAGAGAATTATTATTTTTTAAAATGTTGGGTTGTTGTGGTCATTTCATTTTGACAGCACCTCTGAACATTTCAGGATAAAAAGCAGTTGAAACAATAGTGGTTATCAGGCTGATAAGCACTTGAAAGCATAGGGGTATTAGATGATCTACTAGTGTCTAGACAAAATATAATATGCTGAGAATGAAATGAAGTGGTTTGCATTTCTTTCTCTTCTAGATCTGTATCAAGGTTTCTCCTTTAGAGACAAATTCTAGCATGGTATTGTCCAATATGGAAGTCATATATAGATATTTACATTTAAATTAATCAAATAAAACTAATAAGAGTTCAGTTCCTCAGTCACACTGCCACATTTTAAGTGGTCAGTGGCCACCTAGGGCTTGAGGCCACCATATTGGACAGAGCAGATAACCATTTCCACTGAAGCCCAAAGTATCTCTGAACAGGTTCTAGGAGAGAATGGAAATGCAATGGTAGGAGCGGGGAGAGGAGGGATTCTGGTCTATATATGGCCCTATCTGCAGAGGGCTCATGGATGGAGTTTTAGACTGGTAAGCCCAGGTTTTGGTTAGGCTTATCCTGAAGAAGGACCTGGATTTCTGTGCTTTTCTGACATCCAGTATCCAATGGAGGCAGTGCCTGGAGCCAGAATGCCAGTGCAGATACGAGTCAAGCTCTGGTTTGGGCTCTCTGTGGATGAGAAAGAGTTCAACCAGTTTGCTGAGGGGAAGCTCTCTGTCTTTGCTGAAACGGTGAGTGTTTGCCAAGCCCACCTTTGACCCCTTCATCACTCCCTGCCCACCTGGAGCTTCTCACTTCTCCCTCACTTCTCCTCGCCCTACAGTATGAGAACCAGACCAAGCTGGCCTTGGTTGGAAACTGGGGCACAACGGGCCTCACATACCCCAAGTTTTCTGATGTCACGGGCAAGATCAAGCTACCCAAGGACAGCTTCCGTCCCTCGGCTGGATGGGCCTGGGCAGGAGATTGGTTCGTGTGTCCAGAGAAGACGTGAGTCACGGGCAAGGCTGCCACCAGTGACCACTTTCTCTGCCCTGGCCCTTTCTCTGAAAACCTCTGCTCTGTCAGTCCCTCTGCCTACACATGCACTGGCAATGGAAACTGCCACTTGGACTTAACTTGGATGGGGTTTACTAGGCAGCATTCTTTCTGGAAGGCTCTTAATACTCAGAGACTCCTTCATTATTAAGTCTCCCTTGAATTTTGTTCCCAGTGATGTGGACTGGTCTTCCATGATACCATGACTAAGACCCTTGCACCATGCACAGGCGACCCTTTGTGTTCCTGGTGGCTTATTCACCCCTAGGTGGTCCTTTCTCTCAGCCCTTCCCAGATTTATACTGGCTTTCCCGTCTACTTTTGCCAGCTCTATCCTTTTCTCCTCTCCCTATTTAGCCAACGTTCAACAACTTAAAAAAATATATAAAATGTAACCTATACAGTCAAGCACTCAAAGCTTAAGGGCATAGCTTGGTAACATTTTACATTTCTATAAATATCTATTGGGATTCAACTGTCTTCCCAGATTTGGGGTGTTTGGTCTCTTTTTCTTTGGCTCTAGCAACATGGTCCTTTACCTATAATCAGGTCTGTGCACTGCTCTGTGGTAGTGGGATGGGTAGGGGTCTCGTTAGCATGGCTCTGACTGGTCCTCTCCCATAGCCTGCTTCATGATGCTGATGCTGGTCATCTGAGCTTCGTGGAGGAGGTGTTTGAGAACCAGACCCGGCTCCCTGGAGGCCAGTGGATCTACATGAGTGACAACTACACTGATGTTGTAAGGGGAATGTCAACAGATGGGGTGGGAGTAGGATCAGCTTTCCCTGGTACCTTGGACATTTTAGTCCCAAGAGAGCTCAAGGAAGGCTGGGAGATTTTCTGCCCTGATCCTACCTACTGAGCCTCCATGCTCTAGTTTCCAGAAGGATGGTGATTCTTATTCATACAAGCTCTACTCTCTGTCTGGAGCTTCTTTTCTGGGACCCTGAAAAGGTCTATTAGTATCTTCTGACCCTTATCTATTCTATTTTGTCCCGAGAATGGGGAGAAGGTGCTTCCTAAGGATGACATCGAGTGTCCAGTGGGCTGGAAGTGGGAAGATGAAGAATGGTCCACAGACCTCAATCGGGCCGTTGATGAGCAAGGTAGGAAGCATCCCTACCATGTGCATGCCTCTGAGTCTGTGTGCATGTTGGCCAGAAGACATGAGGAGTTGGGCAGTGAGTGACACTTGCCTCTTCCCTAGGCTGGGAGTACAGCATCACTATTCCCCCGGACCGGAAGCCAAGGCACTGGGTCCCTGCTGAGAAGATGTACTATACACACCGACGGAGGCGCTGGGTCCGCCTGCGCAGGAGGGACCTCAGCCAGATGGAAGCTTTGAAGAGAGTGAGCGGCCCGTGGTAGATGGGAGGGAGGCCCCAGGGGCACAGGTGCAGACCTGTGTGATACAAATACATGCAGGTATGCATATGGCCATACGTCACATCCAACACATACACACACACATTCCATCCTCCAGTAGGTCATACCCAGCATATACAAATACCCACATATCACTAGCACACACACACACAGATACCCTCAAACTGTTGTATAACACACGGAGAAGCCTAGTTTATACGGCCCCAGAAGGTACAGACATGTAACTAGAGGTACCTTAGGCCTGGCTTCCTAGCTATAGCATGATTTTGTCTTCATGATTTTGTATCTGTGCTCTCAGGAGGGTGAGAGACAAGGATGTGTCCTTGGGGCACAGCATACCTCTCCTTACCTGAAGGAAATGGAGAGGGGCTTGTAATTTCTTGGCTGTCTGTCATTGGTTAAGGGATGCTAGAGTATCCTGGGGCACATACCTATCTAGTGAGGTTGACCCTTTAGCAGTGGACAGCTCCCTGGAACAGGCAGCCCCTTAGAATTAGATTCATGCACAAGAAAATGTGTTGGCTGGTGTAGGGGTTGGGATGGACTCCATTAATGTTTACCTTAGAACATGTGCAGATGTCACAGAACAGACTAGCCCAAAGTGCCTATGCATGAATACCCATTTGCTTGAGGGTCCACAGCTGCCCATGTTCCATATAGCCTCAGTGCCTGTCTCCCTCTTGGTCTATAGCCATCCCTCCCAAGCATACATTTGAATTTTGGGCCAAGAACCAGATGTTTCCCCAGGCTAAGCTTAGCATTTGTCATAATCCAGGTTTCATTTTCTAGCTTTGAGTAGAGACCTAGAGAGGATTATCTCTGGGTTTGGGCAGAGGTAAGTTCTTTTTTTTTTTTTTCTGGTCCTGGTTCTTGAACTCAGGGCCACGATACTGTCCCTGAGCTTCTTTTGCTCAAGGGTAGTACTCTACCACTTGAGCCACAGGCCACTTCCAGCCTTTTCTGAATAGTTTACTGGAGATAAGAGTCTCAAGGACTTTGCTGCCTGGATTGGCTTTGAACTGCGATCTTCAAATCTCAGTCTGCTAAATAGCTAGGATTACAGTTGTGAGCCATCAGCGGCCAGCCTGAGCCAAAGATTTTTTGATAACCAATCTGTTCAGATGCTACGGACCAGGTCACAGCTTCCCCGCAGAGGGGCACTCAATTGGTAGAAGTGGAGCCTGGCCAAAAAATGAGTGCCTCGTCCTCTTCCTTGGAGGGGACACAGCTGGCTTATAGGACTTTTCACTATACTAGTGGCCTGGACTGAGTGGTCCCAAGCTATTCTTTGCTAGGTGCTGGGGCAGGAGGTTCCAGTGTCCCTGTAGACTTGGGAAAGGGTGTCCTCCAAGTGCATATCAGAGATCCCTCCACAGCTAGCTTAAGTGCCCCTTCCTGGGGAGGGATAGGCTGAGTTTGAGAGGCAAGATCTTTGTGTTGCCTCTGAACCGCAGACCTACTTCCATTTTTATAAGCCGGGATGCGAAGACGAAAACGGAAATGACAAGAAAACCTCGGATTCATGCAATCCACCCATAATTCAAATAAACAGCAACCCCAGTGCCCAATTTCCTTCACAACTGCAGTCTACCTTCCCTTCCTGCGTTCTCAGCAGTTGGACTTTCCCCTCAGCCTACAGAGCCTCTTCCCTCTTGATCTTTCTATCTAGGGGTCTTAGGCTACTCAAAGCCCTCTCCTCCCACTGGTTCTTCCAGATTTTCCCACCAGGAGGGTGCTGGTGTGGGAGCTGGTGGGGAGTAGTGAAGAATAGGAAGGCACACCTGGGATGGGTCCAGGATATCCCAGGACCTGCCAATCAGCTCTGAGTCTGCCCTTTCTCCTGTGTAGCACAGGCAGGCAGAGGCAGAGGGCGAGGGCTGGGAGTACGCCTCTCTCTTTGGCTGGAAGTTTCACCTGGAGTACCGCAAGACTGACGCCTTTCGCCGCCGCCGTTGGCGCCGTCGCATGGAGCCCCTGGAGAAGACAGGGCCTGCTGCTGTGTTTGCCCTCGAGGGAGCCCTGGTATGTGTGGCTGTGCCTGTTGGGTTGGGTGGGGTGTGGCTCCCTTTCCCAAGGCTGTTCTGGGGTGATGTGGGGTAGGCACAGAGCCCCCTGGGTTAGGGCCTTTGGACAGATGTTGGCCAGTTGTCCTGGCTTTGATCCCTGTGGGGTGGCAAGTGGGAAAAGTGAGCAGCAGTCTGGGTGTCCTTGTAAAATAAAACAGCTTTCTTCTTGGCACTGGAAGACCCACTGCTTCTTGGAGTGGTCAAGATGGAAGCAGAGAGGGAGAGAGACGGCTTTGGCATCTAAGGGTCTGACCCAGTGCTTCCTGTAGAGGCAGCCTAACGTGGAGGTAGGAGGGGAGACCTCAGTCTCACTCATAGCTGTAGCCACAAAAGTCTGGCACCTCTGGAAGGTCCTCAGTTGAACATGCATCCTCATGAGACAGGATGTCTCATGGGCTTCCCCCCAAGATTTGGGGGAACAATGTATCTTAAAAACTAAGTTCCTGGATGGCTGTCCTGACCTTGTGTATATTTTATATAGTGGGTGGTCTTGGGGTCTGCTCCGCGTTATTCAGGATTTGGGCAATGGGCTTCCCCAAAAGAGATGATTAGGCATACAGCCAGCTTCTTGCTTTGCTGGCCTAGGAACAACTGGAGGTGGAAATGAGAGGCCTGAATGAGATGTTTCCTCTGAAATCTGACCAGAACTGTGTATCTTCTGTGGAGACTCTAGGCTGGGACCTTGGGAGACTAGTTATACCAACTGTACTTCTTGAGGGGACTTGAAGCTGTTCCTGTGAAGCTATTTGTGCATATGTACATCTAGTCTAGACCAAGGATGTATCCATCCATGGGACAAACAGCCGTGTGGGCTCTGGGAGTCTTAATAGGGCAGGCCCAGAGCATGATGGGATGGAAGCAAGAGAAGACACTGAGAGCGGCCTGGTAGTTCCAGACTTGATAGAAGGCAGGCCTTATGGTGGCAGTGTAGGAGAGGCAATCTCTGGTGTCCAGGAGCTGTCAGAGCAGTTGTGACCGGCCTCTAGAGAGGAGTCTTCTCTAGGCCTGGGCCACATATGTGGGGACCTTGTGGGGAGAAGCAAAGTCCTGGACCTCTGGGTTGCTAACTGGTCTTCAGCCAGACAGGAACAACTAGGTGCAGCTGTGGACTGGATAGGAGAAAGACTGGTGCTTGGTTACTGCCTTTGGTTTCAGTCAGAAAGGGTTTGACTTGGGCTTCAGGATGGTTGAGTGGCTGCACTGAAGAAGGCCAGGACTGAGAATCCAGATGTGTTTCTGTCAGACAGAGATGACACTCAAATGGGCTGATGAGAAAAGGGGCTTCTGGAAAGTTGGCCTGGAGGGATGCCAGGTATTAGAGTGGCAGGAAATGGAGTGTCCCTGGGACTCACTTCTCTGTCTGGCCTCATCGCACGGTGGCTCTCTCAAGATGGCCAGGGAAGATGGTGCTGGCATCATCTTCACAGTCCACTAAGCCCTGCTAGATGCAAACCACATCACAGAGTGCCACTTTCTCAACAGTCCCAGGACAGATCTTATGTAAAGGACTGGCTCTGCCTGGTCATGCACCTAGTCAGGTTCTGTGCTGGGGAGGAATGGAGGGTCCTGATTGGCCACCCTGGGCCATGTGCCAGCTTTGTGATGGACAATATTAAGCTGGGGAGAGGAGTTTCTGAAATGGAAAAGAAACTCGAAACCATGCCAGGTAAAGAGCTCCAGATGACATGCCCTGGACTCTATTCATTGAGTCTTAGGTTGTCCCTATGGGTTGTTGTGCAGAATGCTTTGGTTCGAAGTAGGAGGCATTAAGACCTGAAATCAAGAGCGTTGAGAGGGAGAACTTCCTGTTTTCAGATCATCAGGAGTTTGGGATGGAAATCCAAGGATGAGGTGACTTCTGGGTTGAGAGCTGTTGGGCCAATTTGAGGGAGATCAGGTGGCAGAGCATAGTGAGAGAAGGGTCAATAGTGGGGCCACTGACAGTGCCAGGTTGCAAGGCAGGCCTGGGGCTGTAATGAGTTCACTGTTGGCCCTGGCAAGTCTGACATACAGTGCAGTGCTGTGTGAGGAAGGCAGATCTGGTGGCTGCCTGCCAGGCAGACCAGGACAGGGAGGTAGGTAAGGGGAGAGCAAGGCCAAAGAGTCCTACAGGCATGTAGACAGACACTGAGGCTGGCTGGAAGGTGGTTCACAATGTGGCTGCCGGAAGTGTTCCCAGTGGGCTTCATTCCTGCCAAGGCTAACTTGGTAGGGGTGCTACTCTGGCTGGAGGAGGAGGCGAGCAAGACTGAGGAACCCACTGCCAAGCTTTCATGATGTGGTGACTGGGAGAATGGGGAAACATTTCCCAGAAGAGAGAAACCAATTAATTTATTCTTTATGTGGGAGAAAATGTCATGAGGGATCACTGAACTCAAGTGTCAAGTCAACAGATGTACAAGGGTGATGGATGACAGTTCAAATGTGACTGGCTGTGACATACAGCAGAGAGCTATCCAGGGGAGACTCCTGAGTCTCCTGAGAACTTGGCTGACACAGAGAATCCAAGGGTGACAGACAGTGGTTTGAGATAGTGAGTCTCACAGATCTGGAATCTGAAACTACACTTTCAGAAATCCTTAGGTGTCCGGCATTTGGACAGAGCCACAAGCCCGTTTGCTCATAACTGTCTAGACCATTCTGTCTAGATCCTCATCAGTTCTAATGCAGATACAGTCACTCCACATGCTATGCTTCCTTCTTGGTCAGCTTTACAGGACAAAGGGCAGTCTTGGGTCCTTGTGCTCTGGCTCTAGACATACTGATTCCTCCCTCAGGGATTGGGGGTCAAGTCTACTACATCTTGGGATGAATGGTTATGTTTTCTGGGCTAGGAGCTTGCTGTTGCACATATACCCATGATGTCTGCTGATATACCTGGTAGGATGTGGTGGGACAGCAGCAAGACTTCTGAGTGTGCAGAATCTAAGCTGGGGATTCCATGCTTTGTGCTTTCTAGCTGAGGCCAGGGCCCTCTCGCCTTTCACACTGTTTCCTCACCCATCTTAGCATCACTGTAAGGATTAACAGTGACACTTGTAAAGAATGGCTTCTCAGACTTAATGAGCAAGAGAGCCAGTTGGGATCTTGTCAAGACGTAGACTCTGATTCAGCGTCAGGGTGGGGCCCACAGTCTCTCTGTCTAATAAGCTTCTAGGTAATGCTGAGGAGGCTGGCCCGAGGGCCATCTTCTGATAATGAGGATATGCAAGGATATAGTGCATCTTGCAGTCCTAGGAGGGACTCACATTAGCCCACCTGTTGGATGCTTTTCTGAGAGAGACTGGCATCTGACTTGGTTGAAGGTACATGTATAGTCACAGTCCTGATAGAGAGGTAAGGCAAGAAATGATCTCATGGCCCAATTTGATGGTGGAGACCTCCTAGGCCAATGAGGATTTCAGGATGAGAGAGTGTAAATAAACTTGGAGAAGTCTTATCTTTGGAGTGCTGGACAGAGAGTAAGTCATTCCAGAGTGGCTGGTGAGGGAAGGGAAGGAAGATCAGTGAGTAGTGTTCAGGTAGCCTTCCTGGTGATGACGATTTGAATGTCTAGGCCTGAGGACCAGACCTGGGTGCTCCTTGTCTCCTGTCCCCTCCCCCTCTCCCTGGCCTGTGTATCTATGGCAGTCTGGGCCTTGCCTGCTAGCTCCCTTTGGAAGACGTCTCTTTGGAAGGCAGGCCCTGTCTGCTCATTAGCACGGGCAGCCTTTCCCTGAAGCCTTCTGTTGGGGCCAAGCCTGGCTCCCTTCATGGAGCGGGAAGCCCTGGCTCCGTCTGCTAATCGTCTGCTGTCTCCATCCCGAGCATTATTTTATTTTCGTATTATTCTTTTTCCAGCTAATATCCTGGCATTCCCAAAGACACCGGGTTTCATAATCTTCCTGGCGTTCCCAGGGAGCTTGGGAAGCGGAGCACAAAGCCGCTATTATAGCGTGTTCCATCTAGCTTCCCTCTCTTCGCCCCACACCCCTAGCTGCCGCCGCAGCCACCACCGCGGCTCCCACCCAGTCACCCCCTCCTGACGCCACTGGCCTCTCTGGGAACTTGGTGACGGCTGCTGGGATGAGCTCACGGAATCCATGCTGTTGCCCCTGCCCTAGGCCTACCCTCCAGGCGCAAGGATTTTTCCAAGCCCTGCCTCTGTGCTTGGCCCTGAGTGTCCTCCTGTTGGGAAGGGTTTCCTGAGTTGCCTGTGCCTGGCAGGGAGAGAGGAGACAGGTCGGCACCGTGTGCTCACAGCCCTGGAGAATTTCAACAAGGAAGAACTTGCACATTCTATAGAAGCTGGGCACAGGAGTCTTTTAAAATCAGCTGGAAAATGTGTGTGTGTGTGTGTGTGTGTGTGTGTATGTGTGTGCAGGTGTGTGCATGTGTGTAATATGCTCTGTGTATGTGTGTGTGCTTTTGTGTGTGTGTTTGTGATGGATATATTCTGAAATAAGGTTCTTGGTTTTATCCATTTCTCTAAGAGATCCAGGTCCTCAAAGAGGATAAACATTACTAGAATCTATTTAACCATGTGCCAAAAACCATGCCAAAGGATTCATATGCATTGCCTTACTTTATTTTGTGCCCAGAAAGTTGGGTGCTATTCTATTATTAAGCCTCATTTTACAGCTGTGAAGAACAAGGACCTAGATCTGCATTGTGTAAAACAGTAGCTACTAGCTACACGTGGCTTTTTAAATTTCCATCTAAAGTAATCAAAATAAGAAAATGCAATTCCCAGTTAGGTGAGCTACATCTCAAATACTCAATAATCACACCTGGAGCTAGGTATCTGTGGCTCATGCCTGAAATCATAGCTACTCAGGAGATCCAAGGATTGTAATTTTAAGCCAGCCTGGGTAGGAAAGACTATGAGACTCTTATCTCCAGTTAACTACCAAAAAGCTGGAAGTGGGACTGTGGCTCATGTGGTAGAGCACCAGCATTGATAAAGCTAAATGACAG